TCATACACCCCTTAACTACAAAAATGTTGTTAAAATGGTGTTTTGACAATCACATTGATTATTTTAATTATATTTTAGATTTTTTTATATTTAAAATAAACGTTTATTTTGTATTTGATTATGTTTATATGTAGTTGGTTACACGAATTTAAAAATGAAGTTTTAATAAATTGTACTTACACAAAATTACTTGTAATCTTGAATTTTAAGTAATATACATCAATATACAATACTTCATACATAAAAAATGGTTTTTAAAAGTTTATGTCATATGATTTATAATATAGTATAGATATAGATAATTTTAGTATTAATTTTTAAAAAACATATTTCTTTTAAGTTAAAATATAATTAATTGATAATTAGAAATATTTGGCGGGGAGAGCGGAGGCCATGGAATCCGGCCCAAGGTTGACATAACGGATCCCGGAGTCAATCACGGGCCACTGTTTTTTTCTTCATTATTTTATAACCACCAATCACAACAGAAATCATCATATTTTGCTTTTTTCCTTTAAAAAAAATTACAAATCAAAGTTAGTTTCTTTTGAATAATTAAAATTTATTTACACTAAAAAAGACCAAATAATGTTTTTAAAATTTATATAATCACTGACAGATCCAGAAAATCAACTGATTGGGATTACATACTCGGGGGTTATTTGGTTGTTTTACATTAAGTCTTGTATGGATAAAGCTGTATTTATGATTAATTTGTCTGTATAAATTGAGAAAGTTTTTGTTTGTTAAGGATTTTTTGATAGATGAAATGAGTGGAGGTTTTTCTGCAATGTCCGGCTTCTAATTTATTTAATTAATAAATAAAATAACAAAAAACTGTAAATTAAATTAATCTTATGATTAAAGTTAAAATGATAAAATAGATATTTAATTTTAAAAATTAACAGAAATTAAAATAGAAACATAAACACATATTTTATGAATTTTGATGGTTGATATACTATTTAGGGAAAAGTGATGGTGTGCTTTGCAGGCTGTTGATGATGACACATGATGAGTCTGGATCCATATGCATATGGGCCGTGGATTAAGGGGAGGGTGCACAAACATTATGATGGGAATGGGCCACACTTTATCATACCTTTTCTTGCGCAAGTCTGTTAGATGACCGTTAAAACTTTTGTACGCATATGGGGGAAATTAGCTATTTCTTTTTGGATTTTATTTAAGTGTCACTATCTTTCTAATGATATATCCACTTGCGAACTTAATTAAAAGACAAAAAAAATTATAATTTTTATTAGGTCCGCAAGTGGTTTGCACAGATGCCACTTGCGAACCTTGGTAGAAATTGTAACCGGGTTCGCAAGCGAGTGAGATACCACTTACGAAGATAGTGACATTTAGGTAAATCAAGTAAAGAAATAGCTAGGAGAATACTTCATGGAGAGAGAAATGGTAATTTTGGCTGATTACGGACCAAGCTAAACCCTTGATCACCTTTAATCTCAAACTCAATTATAAATCGAATCTTATACGGAAATTGGTATCCAGTGTATCTCATATTAATGTACATCCAAAGATGGATATCCATTCTTACGTTTTCTCAGCGGAACCATACCTCTGAAAAGGGTAATGGATTTTGTTAAGATTTTTCTTTCTTTATTTAATTTAGAAAATAAAAGATGTTATAATTTTGTAAAACGAGTCATTTTTTAAAGAAACTTATGAAACTTTTTTATTTGATATATTTTTATCAAATATATTAAAATTGAGGTTTTAACGTTATATTATATTAGAAGGGTATTCACGTAATTAAGTGATATACATTTTGATTTTAATATTTCATTTTATTCTTTATCTCAGTCGATGTTATAGTATCGTGTTATATGATTTTGAAAAAACGATGATATTTTTATTTTTGAATAAAATATAAATTTAAAAATATCATAAAAATTTAACAAAAATATATCGATATTAGTATCAAATTAACTATTTAAAATTTCTATTTTTTGTGTAATTTTTTAATTCAGTTTTTTATTAATCTTATGATTTGGTTCAATATTATAATTTTCTTACAAAAATAATAATTATTTATTTTGTTAGAACTCAATAATTATTCTAATTATATTTTATATTTTTTATATTTTTAAATGAGATGATGTTTATCCTTTATTTAATTATGTTTATCCGCAGTTAATTACACGAATTCAAACATAGAGTTTTAATAAGTTATGTTTATGCATTATTTACTTGTAATATTAAATTTTAAGTAATATGCATCAATATAAAGTGTTTTATGTATAAAAAATAGTTTTTAATAGTTTTTGTCAAATGTTTTATAATATATTAGAGAGATATATATAAAATGAAAATGAAAAATAAATTTTATGTTTTATTTTAATTATATTTTCTATGTAGGGAGCAATAAATTTAAAAGTTAATTAAAAAAATAAGAAATAAATTTGAAATGGTCTGATCGTTTCCGTCAAATCCGTTTGAGCCGCCGTCTGTGAGGTCCATACACCTCTCAAGCTCTCAACCCCATGCCTTTTTGCTTCTGTTTTCAACTTTTTCTGGTATATCTGTTTCCAAATATTGTTTAAAAATAATATAATATAATATTAAATTAAATAAAAAATTATACAAGTTGAATATTTTACCAAACGATTAGAATTTTACAAATTTACATTGAAAGAATGCAAATATAAAATAAATGGATGATAAATATTTGTAAAATGATTAGAATAAAAATAAGAAATGATGACAATATATCCTTTAATTAATCATGTATTGTTTCACATTAAAATAAATTATCTAAAATGGAGATTTTGGCTTAAATTTTGCTTTGAAGGGTGTTTGGGATTGCTTATTTAAAATAACTTATATTTTTTTTATTAAAGTCCTTATCAACTTATTATAAGTTAGAATAGTTTAACTTCTTCAAAAAAAAATTATTACCTATTTGACATCGGTATAAGTTGTTTATCCAAACATTCAGAAGTGTTTATTACCGGTGTCATACCGAAATAAGTCAATAAGTTATTCTTATAAACAATCTCAAACACCCCTTTAATAAAAATTTTAAAATAAACGGAGTATAAGAAAGTGCGTGAAATTTTACAAATTTGGAGAACTCCCAAAATATTAATTAGAATGAGAGCAAAACAACTTTTTAAAAAAAAAATTATATTCCAGCCAATAAAAAAGCTTTGATGTTAAATGTTTATGAGAGGCAAATAATATTTTAATAATAGTTAATATCGTAATCGGTAAAATAAAAAATCTGTTAGAGATGATGTGATTCTTTTATAGATTTTAAGCCTTGATTCTCTATTTTGCGAGAATCTGTTGAAGATGCTATTATGGAATAATACATATAAAATATATAGTGTTTTTTACATTATGAAACAAAAAATAAACGTAATAAGAGTTTCATACCATAAAACAAATACACTATTAAACAATGCATTAAATCCTAGTTTTTACCTTTGTGTGATTCTCAAATGATTAACCCCTATATATAGTATAAGGAAAGATTATGCGAGAATACGATAATGCGAGAAATCTCAATATCATATATGATTACGCTTATTTGAGTTGTTTAATCATATACGATTAAGCGTCTACATGTTATAATGCAACATCTCTTTAATCATATATGACTAAGCTTCTTTCATGCGTATAATCATATATGGTATTGAAATTTCCCGTCTTCTTGCAAAACTTTTAACTTTTGGTTTGAACCTGACCTCCCCCCCCCCCCAACACACACACACACATACATACATATATATATAGAGAGAGAGAGAGAGAGAGAGATAGAGAGAGAGAGAGAGTGAGATCATGTGAGACTAGGTTGTTTTCGTGAGACTACTTTTTTACACTTGAAACTTCATAGTAGAACATTGTGAATGTAACATTCACAGTGTTTTTCCTGTAAAGATTCAAATTGTTTTACCTTTATAATGTTTTGCTACGAAGTTTCACATATAAAAATACGGTTTAAGGAGTCTTGCAAAAACAAACTAGTTTTCACGTAAATCCAACTTTATATATATATATATATATATATATTAATTAAATGATGGTTTGCAATTACCAAATAGTTAAGTCCTTTGATGGCACTTTGTAACAAAGCGAGTCAACAACTCAACATGCTCCCATGGACACGTTTTTTTAAGAAATAAATAAAATAAAAATAAAAATGAAGAAAATTATAAAGGAGTAGTTAGATGAATCCAAAATAAATAAGGGAGAAAAATACAAACACAAGTCATGAGTGGGGATTTAACAATTGTTTGGACGTGCATCAACAATTCACATGCAAACCAATTCATCTTCGTTTCTTTTTTAGGTAAAGGAATCAAGTGATTTTATTTAAATTTATGGATTATATTAATAATTTCAAATCAAGATTGCTAATAAAGTTTGAGAAAACCAACGAAAAACAGGTCGTTAAAAATTATTTAAAATTCTGATTTATTAGAACTTTAGTCACATGAGGAAATCAAGCAAATCAATCAGGGGTTATGTCCAGGATGACTCAAACGATTACAAGGGTGGTGGTGGGCAACGAGTAGGAGATCACAAGTGAAAGACTGAAAGGGGAGAAAGAGATAAACAAGGGAAAGTAAACAGATTCATTAGATCATATTTAAGAAAACAAGAGAAAAGAGAATGTGTCACATCATATTCCGTCACAAGAGAAAAGAAACGTGTCACATTATATTTAAGGAAAAAAAAGTCTAAATTACCTCTCATATAACTCGAATTAACATTAAAACATAAGGGTATAACCGTCTTAATAAACGAACCACATTGATGAAATCCTTAATTTGACAAAGCACAAATTCCGGAAATGTAGTTCACAAGAGAAAACGATGTATTTGATTTAATGGGAATGTAAATACCAAAAATACCCTCACCAAGACTTCAAGCATGAGAATCATAACGGCCAAGGGCATTTTCGTAATTTTCACCTCCTTCCAAGAGACTACTTAAACCCCTCCACGCCATCGAAACGTGTAAACGAGGAAAATATGAAAATCCAACTTCCCTCCACCTTTTTCTTCTTCATGTCAACCACCATACTCGCTCTAATCACCGCCGCCGCCGTCGCTGTCGCCAACCCATCGCCACCCACCTCCGGCGACACCGATTTCATCCGTACAAGTTGCAGAACCACCTTATACCCACAACTTTGCTACACTTCTCTCTCCAGCTACTCCAACGCCGTCCAACAAGATCCCGGCCGGCTTGCTCGCGTGGCAATCGGCGTCACTCTTTCCAAAGCCACCCACATGGCCAAATACGTCTCCAACATCTCTCGCAACGCCGACTACGACGGCAGCCCAAGAGTCGCCGCCGCCGTGCACGACTGCTTCTCGGTGTTCGGAGACGCGGTGGACGAAATCCGAGGCTCGCTCCGGCAAATGAGGAGGCTGGGTGGGTCCGGCGAGTCGCTACGGTTCCAGCTCAGCAACGTGCAGACGTGGATGAGTGCGGCGTTGACGAATGAAGAAACTTGTACGGACGGGTTTGAAGATGTGGCGGACGACGGCGGCGTGAAGGCGGAGGTTTGTGATCGGGCGGTGAAGGTTAAAGAGGTGACGAGTAACGCCTTGGCGTTAGTTAATAGTTTCGCTAATGCAATTCAAACTCCATGAGAATAAAACGAATGGTGATGACAAACGGTGGTTCAACGTTTACCGTTTAAATTATATGGAACCAGGGAAACAAAACGTTTGTATTTGACTGTAAAAAGTCAAAATGTAATTAAGTTACGTAAATTGAGTCATTTTTTAACGTATTAGAAAAAGTTAAAAGGTTTTAAGTTTACATTTATTTCATCGCAAAAATTCGTTAAATTTCATAATTACCAGATTTGCAGATCAGCTATTGGTTTTGGTTGGGTTGAGTTGGGTCGATTTAGCTTTGTAGTTTTTAAGCTTTTGTTCTTTTGGGTCATGGAACTTGGGTGGGTTATCAAAGGGCCTTTGACCTAACGGTATCATAGTTTTTAGTCTCTTAAAAGGTCGAAGGTTGAAACCTCACCAAAAATGAAAAGAATATGTTAGATTATTTGTTGCATTTATCATATATAAATATTATACACTTAAATAAAACCTAGGCAGGTTGTTGCACATTGCAGTGGTTTTTTTTTTGGGTTTTTCTTAAAAAATCTTCTTGTCTTTAAAAAAGAATATTTATAAGTAGAAAATTGTGATTTTGGTCTATTTTTTTTACTTTAAGAAATTCATACTTTTTCTAAAATTGAGAAACTAAGAGAGAGAAGTTACAAATTTAAATATGTAGAAATTGTTTCTTTTAATTGTTTTTACTAATTAAGTTAATTGTATTATCATTTATTTGAAATTTTATTGGAATGTTAAATATAATAATAATATAATTAATATTGTAGCTTCTAAAATGAATAAACTATTAGGAGTTTTTTGTTTATCTCTTAATAGTTTTATTAAGATGCAATATCTGAATCGTTAAGAGGTGAATTTTGTTTGACAAAAAAAATCTGCTTCTTAATGGTTCTAAAATCATTTGAATGATTTTGTATTATGGGCATTTCTTTACCATTCAACGTTTTAATTTCATTGTAAACAATTACCAAATAATTATATTTCAATTTGCATTATATCATGAGAGTCTTTTAATCATTATCACTACTTAATCATTTTGTACCAAACCATTCAGCAACTCGTCAAACAACCCCTTAGAATTAAAGGTAATTTTTTGGAATTTCTGATTCTTAATTTTTTAGAAAATTGTTGGAGATGCTTCCGTGAAACGAGGCCTCAAATCTTAAGACCATAATCTGTTTTCAAAACAAACTTTATAAAAAGGTTTTGAAAAACCAAATATTTTACATGAAAATCATCGAGGATAACTTTCAAATCTTATTTATTGGATGCTTTTAAACCACGTATGAGCAATACATCTACATTTTTTCGTTAACAGAAGAATTGAAAACTCTGTAACTCCAAATGATTATTAGGTTAGTCACAAAGTTACACCTAAAAATAACACCAAACTATGTCCCGTGATTGCACATACCACAATTATATTTACCATGAAGCAATTATAGAAATTACCGTCACCATCTTTTACTGTCCCTAGAAATTCTTCATTCATGCTAAAAATGCTGAACTATTAGATCTCCTAAGACAAAGGTCAACTTTATAAGCATTTCTATATAACTCGCAACAAAATATGATAGCAAAAAAACTCTACCCCGAATCTTCTAACATAATGTACAAACTATAAAGTATTTGATATCTTTTCGCCTTACCTAACTTTAGGGTTTTCTGTTTTAACTTTTACATTTCTTTTGTGGACTAGGTTTAGGTAGTTTTTTTTAAGTCTTCTATAGATAAGATTATCTGTATATGTTAATTTGTCTGTATAGATTGTGAATGTTTTGTTTAGGAAAGTTTTTTAATAAAAGAAAGAAGCATATTTCTTAATTGGAGTGACAGGTTAAAATAAAACTAGGCTTTCTGAATAACCCACCTTATATATCATTAATCTACTATTAAACCGTTATATATAGCTGACTGAATAAGTTGTGAGTTTTATTAAACTCATTAAATTGTTAATAAATACGCCCTTTATGTAACACCCTAAAAATATTGGACGAGAAAAATCCAAAGAAAGCTAAGAACTTGGTATTAAATATCAGAATAAGAGCTTTGCCCAAAGAAAGAAGTAAAATACGCTAGTTAAATACATGGGTAAATAAATTTGTTTGAGATGAACAACCTGCTAATGTAATTCCTCAAAAGAACTAGATTACAATTGGGTGTCACCTAAACGACAAAAAAATAAAACCAATACTCGGCGTTTGAAAATGCTCCCCAAAAGCTTTCTACAAAGAGGCTGGTCAAACCTCCCTAGCAACCCCGCCACTAGAACCTAAGATACATACCGAAAAGAAACAAGTTTTAGGCAAAAAAGCCTAGTGAGCTTGAACATAACATAAATAATCACGAATGACATAAATTGACAAATCAATAACCATGAGAAGTCATTTAGTCTTGATCATAAACCCACATATACCATTGAGAGCGGTGGAAACTGAGAAATATGTCACTCGTCAAATGTTGTCATATGACACTTCAAGACATAGAGCCCAAGTGCCCAACGACTTCTAACAAGTTTCAACTCAAGAGTATGTTGACTGTAATGTCTATTCCAAAGAATAACTCCTCAAGGCTCAGACACTTAATGCGTACCTCCAAATTCCAATGTAGCACCTCAAGCATAATGGTTCTTAGTGCCTACCCTTTCGAGTAGCACCTCAAGACTCAACCCTCTTAATGTCTACTTGAATAGTTCTTCTATCCATAAGTCTCAAGTGAGGATGTTCGTTCTATCTAAAAGTATATTGGAAAACTATTAAACAACCCACAATAGTTTACCAGAATCAATAAGGCTAGAAATCACTCCAAATTAGGCAACGTTTCCACAAAACATGATTAACATAGACTTCCAACATTTTAGATCAAGTTTCATGTAACCTTTCACAATAATAACCCCATTACAAGATGTAAGGGTATTATACTCCCAATTAATGTAGTAATTTACTCAAAATGCATACAACACCTTCCAAATATAGACATATTGTTACATCACGAGCCAACCGTACCAGATATTGTCCATTTTGTCTGCACCTCGACTCACGATTTTTAAAGGCATCTGATATAGGAGGTATCCAGTCCCTTATAAGGCAATGTTTGTTTCCCTCCCAACAGATGTGGGATCTTACACATATGAGCAAATCTCAAAATAGTAAAGAAATACTTAAAATAAAGCTTAAAATGGAATCAAAGTAAGTATTTTGGCATGTATCTAGTTTTACAAAGCATTTAAAACTCATTTTGCTAGATTTCTTGAAAAACCCTAGGAAACAAGCAAAACCCTAGAAATGGAGATGAGATGGTGAAGCTTTAATCCTTGAGATGGTAAAGCTTTAATCTTTTTAGTACCAATGTCAATAAATGCTCTTCAAATCTGCCCTAAAAAGATCCCTAAAAAAATTTAATGAAGAGGGAAGAAAGAAATGAAAGTAGGTGGAAGAGAGAAGATCGAGTAAATGAAGAAAGAAGCAAGAAATTCCACACTTGGAGCTAATTAAATCCCATAGACGCCCGAGCCACCTTTGGGGTGGCATAAGGCGCCTCACCCTTAGGTTGTTCGCTCTACCCCCCCCCCCCCAACATGCCTCCTACGGTGACCTTCCCTTATGCCTCATAGCTTTCGGGTGACTTTAATCCCATATGGCTTTAGGTGCCGCATAAGTAGCTCAACTACTGCCTTCAAATAAGCCAAACCTGGCAACGGATGCTCAAGTGCCCTTTCTCGTGGCTTAGGCCACCTGGGGAGGCACCCAACCTGACCCGTTCGTCCGTTTTCGACCCCGACTCACCTGAACCATCTCAAGGTCAAATTAGAACGTTTTTGAGAACTAGATCAAATTTTAAAACGTAAATTTCAAGGTAATTTCTAAATTTTCCAAAATTTATAATTTTTGAGATTTCATGGTTTTACAACTATTTTCAACTCATCGTAAATTAGACAAAGAGCAAAAATTAAAAAAACAAATATCCAATCCTTCAAAGACGTGTTTGGTCAACAAACTTTAGGTTGGTCTAAGTTTGGTATCAAATGTCACAAAGCTTATTGATTTTTTAATTTTTAATGAAACCTATTTTTAATTAGACTTTTCTTATGAATAAAACTCATTTTATTATCGTTTAAACTTTTTTTTTATTAAAAACAAAAGACTCAAAAAAAAAAAAAAAAAAACTTGTAATTATTAATCATATATATAAAGAATAGTATTGGCATATTTTCATATACAATATTATTAATTTCATATTACATAGGATAAAATTTCCATATCAAAAGTGTTTTTTCCTTGGATTTAAAGTATATATCCAACCGACTATGCGAACTAACTAATCCCAGCATAACTACATGCTTTGTGGGTAGTCCGGAGTCATCGTATTTGATCCTCCGTAACCACAAGCGGATTTTTATTCTTCCTTAAAATTGAACCTGAGACCTTCAGACACTTTTGACCGTTAGAGCCCAAGCTCAAACCAATTAGTAACCACCATTTAGTTAATTCTTTACTAAATTTATGGATAAGTGTTGATAGTTTAATATTTGTATTAAAATAAAAATGATGATTATGTCCTTGCAAATGAAGTACCCATTAAAAAATGCCTTATATACAAAAAAAAAAAAAGAGAGGATAAACTGCAATAAGATGAAAGAGTAAATTTACATTTTTAGTCCCTGTGGTTTGATTAAAAATTTACAGATTTTAGTCCCTGTGGTTTTGAAATTAAAGTTTTCGTCCCTATGGTTTGTAATTCATTTATACTTTTGTCTCTGAGGCTAAACATTACTTTTAAGTATGAAAAAATAAAATAGAAATGAGTTGTAAACCAAATACCCACATTTTATTATCAGTTGAGTTGACCTGCAATAGTCACCGACCCTCACTTACTATAACATTTTCAGCCATTACAATGAATTATTGTTTTGTTGGTAGACGACCCCTGATTTAATGATAAAAAATAAAATAAATTCCACAATTTAAACATATTTAACTATTAAAAATCTATATATTTGATAATAAATTCCAACCCTGTCCTTTTACTATGCTTTCCGTTATTTATTATTTAATTCAAAAACAAATTAATAGGAATTTATTTAGCTTTTAATTTAATTGTTTATAGTTCAATGAGTGCTCCCATCGCTATAATGAATAAGAAATTGTCTCTCAAAGTATCATCATAATTATTAATCATCTTTCGTCATTCAAATTATTTTATTACTAAAATGAAATCCTTTAATTTAACAAAAATAATATAACCTAGCTGGTAATTGATAAGCTAATTAATGACTGATAAGTTAGCTGGTAACTGATAAGCTATCTAATAAATTTATTATTTTTAGTAAAACTAGTTGATAAGAATGTAAAATAATCAAAAATGGTATCTTAAAAAATTAATCAATTATGATATTTCAAAAATATAATTGAAACAAATCTCTAATAATATAATATACTCATTAATACAAACAAGATGATAAAAAATTTAAAATATATAAGATATTGATTAAAAGAGTTTCAAATTTGTTATTATATATATTATAATATTTGAATTTGTTAAAACAAATTTTAGAAAAAAATTATTATTTATGATTTTAAATAATCATTACATATAATATATATAAAAACAAAATGGTCTACCTCACATATCATAATTAACTAATATTTTCTCAAAAAAATATATTTAATAATTACCTTTCAATTTATAGTAATTAATAATTAATATTTATTGATATTAGTAATGTTTAAATTTTATTAATATTTATTTATAATTAATATTAATATTAATAAATAATAATTAATATTGAAAAAAAATGACAATAAACTACCAAAACGCTACTTCAATTAGCGTTTTAATAAACTAGTTTATAAGCTAGCTTATTTTGCCTTAGTGGTGGTGGTAATTCTATAACAAACAAAACCAACCAATGTGTATCAAATTATATCAGTTAAATTGGTACTAGTTAATTGATATCAATTACAATCGGTTGTTAGTATCATATCAAGTATGCAAACTTGGTTGGTACAACGTATTAGAAGTTGCGTACCATAGTACCGACTTATTTAATTATTTATTAGTTTTTGATTTTTTTTCATATTCAATATTAAACTTTATAACTTTAACTAAAAGTTGGTACATAATACAATTAAACCACATGGGGATAGATGTTTCTACACACGTATCATAACTTGTCCTTTCGGTTACACTGGTTTTAGAAAGATTCATAAAACCAAATATGATTAAATGAAATCTTTATCATTCATTTGTTGGTGCGTTCTTTGTTAATGAATTCTCTTAATAATACCCTCTTATTGAGTAAACTATATTGGTTGGTATAAGAGTAGATATGGTTTTGATAAACGACGCCCTTATAACTAAGAAATTCATTTTTATTGAATTATTATCTGCATTTTATATTTTATTTGATAAATCTAATATGTGGGACATAACCCTCCATTGTTGGGTGGTTTATATATATATATATATAGAGAGAGAGAGAGAGAGACTTGGAATTATGTACGATCAACTTGTTTTTGGTGATACCCGTGATACCATCTTTTTACACTTGAAACTTCACAGTAAAATATTGTGAAAGAACCTTCACAGTGTTTTTACTGTGAAGGTTTGAATTTCTTTTATCTTTATAATGTTTTGTTGTAAAGTTTCAAATGTAACAATGTTGTCTCACGAGTTTTATGAAAATAGACTGATATTACGTAAACTCAACCCTATGTATGTAAACATAGAGACGTCTTAATGATGGGAAGAAAAATAAAGAACACAAGAAGATCGTGTTTATGGGGGAATGTTTTAGGGGAAGGAGATAAAGACAAAGAGAGTTTGGAGGTTTGTGTGTGCATGTGATCAATTAAATTTGTCGGGGGTTGAAATAAACAACTTGTATATATATGAGGGGTTGGTTTGTACTTTATTAATTTTATTCATACACAAGCCCGTGATTACAAACGTCCAATACACTTTCTAGTTCCTACCTCCAATTTTTTAATTAATTTAAACAAAAAATTGATTACTGATAATTTTAAACCACTAATATGATGAAGCATTGTATGGCTTATTCAGTAGGCTTTAGTTGTATTTGGACAAAGTCATTTCAACCATTTACCAAATGAGCTACATGAGACCATTTCCAACCAATTTAGGGTGCCAAAAACTAAAATAGATCATTCCAAATCTTCAACACAATTCCTATTTTGGTTTTCTACTTTTATTCCCATGTATGAAGCTCCCTACAGTATAACTACAAGTATGGAGCTTCCTACAGTATAACTATATTATTTTAATTTATGTGTATATAAAATATCAAAGTACACAATAAAAATATTAATGTAATGTATAGCTAATAATATATGGAGTATGATTGAAGTTAAAGCATCTTTAACAACTATGTTATTTTAGAATTTTTAAAGATATGAGAAAAGTTTGCTTCAATAGTTATGTTAAATTCTTTTTTAGAAAAAAAAAAGAGATATAGAGGGTGTGATTGAAAATGTTTTGAAAGGATAAATATGATAGTTTACTTTATAGCATCTTGATTGAAGAAAAGCATAAATGAGATGCAATTATTTAGGAGGGGTAAACGTAGAGTAGATTAATTTAATCATGAAAAGGGGACAACAAATCCACATCAATAAAGCATGGAAATGTGTTTCTTTTGTTCGTTTGGAGTCGTATGATTTAAGAATGTTTGTGGTGATTATTGTTGTTGGATGAAAATGAGAGGTTTGTGATATGTGGTCACATAGATGGATATAAGTTTTTTTCTTTTTCTTTTTCTATTTCTTTTTCTTTTTGTTATTTTTATATTCATATAATAATAATAAATTTTTTTATTAACTATATATGCATGTTTTGAATGATATATATCATTAACAATTGTCGAGCAAAATATTTAAGGTTTTTTTTTGTCTTGTCATCTTATTTTATTACATCATTTATGTTACTTAATTGATGAACAAATAATTAATGTTCCATTATAAACAAACTGTGGTTTTCACCAAAATAAAAAGAGTAATTTGTAATAGAATACCATAAACTCGTAATAAAATGTTTATACTTGAAAGCTGAAACTGGAAGATCATCAGGTCGAAGACTTGAAAGTAGGGCCGTATGTAGGTTAGATTGGTCGGACTGAAAGCATCTGAAATGTTTACGCTTTGAAGAATTCTCTTGTAGAATGCACAAAAACCCAATCAATAAGAACAGAAATACCAATATTTTCATGTTTAGAAGTATATCCATATCAGTATTCCTTCATTGTTTTGGTCTTGTTTGTGATGCCTAGTGGCTTGGTTACAGCGACTCTAGTGTTCATATTTCATTTGACATGATTTTTATCAAACTAAAGGCCGTAAATTTGGTATATTGTTGGTAAAAGGTTCTCAAATTACAACTGAATTATTGATGACAACATAACTTTGCAACTCATCCAGCATTCAACAAGACAGTAGATGCCTGTGAAACTAACAAACAACCCCAAAAAACCTAACCTTATTGTGTTATAGAAACACCAAAAATACATAGGTTGTGAACAACAGAGGCAGCATGTATATATTTAAGTGATGACGGTGGGGGCAGAACGGCCAGTGAATTCTTGCATCTTCGACAGCTTTAGAGCAACCTCCACCTGTGTAACCAAAACTCAGTAGTTTCTCACCATCAACAAAAAGTATGCCACCAAAGGGGTCATTTGCCTATCGATACTGGTAGCGCCCAGCCTCCCAGGAGGTCAAGAATTTGGTGAGGTTTGTGCGTGAGTATTTTTCCCGTATATAAATATGATTTACTTATGAAAAGGGATGCCAACAGACCCTCTTGGCCAATCTTATACTTGATGATGGAAGTGAATTCATATTTGTCTTGGCCATTTATCTTTATTTTTCATTTTAAATTCTCCTCGTATCAAATAAATGTTCGTTTTCACACACAAACATATAAACAGTGTTGAAAGATGATTTACCAGAGGACCAAGTGCTTCCTGAGAATCTCTTCCAGTCTTGGATGAATCTTTCTCGTATTGCTCGATGTAAAGACGTATTGTGGCTCCTTCCGACCCTGTCCCAGATAAACGGAAGACCTACAACACAGATTACAACATACATTCAGAAGAGGACTTCTCCAGTGCTTGTTACCTACATTTTTTCTAAAGAAATAATATACTTTATTTACTAAAATATATAAAAAATTGACTATTATCCCAATCCTTGTTTTTATTTATAAAAATTGAGGGGAAAGAAAACCATTTTCCAACTTCCGGGAGTGCTCACCAGTACATGCTATGATTAATTGAATTAAGATTACTGCACTCACCAAACGTGACCCGTCTTCAAATAAATAGCGAATTCCCTGATTCTTAGAAACTGAACCATCAACAGGATCTTTGTATTCAAATTCATCAGCATTGGCAACATTTGCCACATCTGATCGAATTCCCTTTATTGTTCTGCACAAATGAATATCAGAAGCTAATTACAACAATTCAAACAGCCTGACTAAGAAAGTTTCAAAATAAGGTCCAAAACATATTTGTATGTGATGGAAAGAGAATCCATATGAAAGAAATCAGGAGAAACTTGCTTGTTAACTTCACCAAGAGATGACTGCAACTTCACCAAGTGAGCCATGAGTTCCTTCGCAGCACCTGCGTCGACATTCTTCAGGAAACAAAACAATTCTGATCAATACAGATGTCAATTACAATTTGCAGCTCCTAATGAGGTTTCATCACATTATTGACAATTTAAATTCATAAAGACCTCGTAATCATAGCGAGTATAATAGTGGCGTCCGAAGGTAGCCCAGTGCTGCTTTACAATGTCTTCAACAGTCACAAGCTTCCCACCATTGAGGCTGTCCTTGTTTTTAAAAGCAAGAATGGACAACCAAGCCAACACAGCCCAGATTCCATCCTTCTCTCGAATATGGTCCGACCCTATAAATTAGAATAAGTTATTAACGTAAGTAAATGTAAGTTTCTTAGATGGCCAATTCGAACATTTTCTCTTTTAGGTTTACGTTTATCCCTTGTCAAGCTTCTCTAATCTCCTTCTTGACTGTTTATCTTCTTAACTAGACAGTTACACATTTCCAACGCCTGATTTTAAGCTGGGCATCCATACAGAAAGTCACACACATCAATTCCTCTATTGACTCCTTAATTTCTAACAATCTTTCTCATAAAAGATTCACCTTTTATTTAAGTGCCTCCAGCAATCCCAATCTAGCACTACGGTCTATGGCCCCATCAAGATAGCACTAGAAAACCTTACAAGGTTCAGTCCTTTCACAATCTAAAAAGATATTTTTAGCAATGTGAAGAAGCATTAGTTGTTTAGGATTTCACTTTTACACGACAACCACTGATGTGTGCAACCACTAAAGATGTTATAGTGAAATAAGCATTTAGCTAAATCGTATTATTCCCAAAACACTATTCTCTTCACATTTACCAAAGATTTTCTTCAAGTCCTCTACATTCTTTTTTTTTTCTATGTACTATTAATTGAGAAAATGGGAATGTATAGAATCAGAAAATACACACATACAACATAAGGGTCATAACTCAATGTTGCTTTTCAAGTTATTAACGAGAGACGTAATGCAACAGTTAATTTTCTTTCTTTTTTCTTTAGCTGACAGCAGAAAGAATGAAAAACTTTACCAGTTCCAAAACTCTCTTCACCACAAACTGAACATAGTCCAGCATCCATCAAGTTACCAAAGAATTTCCAGCCTGTTGGTACCTGGCATATTAGGGATGAGTGACTTTGCTTTCAGAAAACTGTCATGAACCCTTTATAATTCTATATTATGTGCAGGAGTACCTCAAAAAACTTCAAGTTCAGATGTTTAGCCACAACATCAAGAGCAGCAGATGTTGGCATGCTCCTACACGCAGAGAAGTCACAGTTACAAATCAAAATTAGTTTTCATTGGACTTAGATAGACACTTTATCTAATGCATGATGATAAGACAGACAAATGACATGAGATTCCTACAAAAATCAGAAATATGCATAATGGTATTTTCCCAGCAAGACGATGGCACACAAAAGACTGAATTTTTTTAGAAGGGTCACATTAGTTTAAGAAAAAAACTGAAGCACACAGAAATAATTCATATTGAAGAAATTAAGCAAGTTATATATGTATAAGAGTAACCTGGCAACACCCTTTAAACCAGAAGAAAAGTAGGGTATGGCTTGGACTGCATTGGCAGCAATGATAGCAACAGAATCCGAAGGGGTAACAAAAAACCTGAAGCCAGAAAAGAAGTCACCAACTAAGACTCTTCCAAGGGTAGTTGTAGCTGTTTACATCTGCATAAAAATACGGCTTTACCTTTTACCAAGAATCATGTTCCTATCAGCATCACCATCTGCAGCAGCACCAAATTCTGGCGGGTTGCTGTCAGGGTTCTTACCCAATCCCATTCGTGCTACCAACTCTTTCGCGTAGGTTAGATTGGGATCAGGATGTCCACCACCGAAATCTTCCTGCTCGCATCATAAAGTTCAGTAAAAGACAAAGTAGAGTACAAACATACATGAGCAAAGTAATGTATCATGCACAGTATTAGCGCAGCTAAAATCAAATAACAAATGAGATGGATTAGATGGGCAGAAATAACCTTGGGAACACAGTTCAACAATGAGCTCTCTTTTGCACCAAGCTCTTCAACAAATATACGTTTAGCATAAGCTCCAGCAACTCCGCTAAGGGCATCATAACTAATAGATCACAGCACAATTAGCATTGAGCATATCCTTGAAAACAATAGAAGACTAAAAAGAAATTGATGATGACACCAAAAAAGGAAAAGAGAAGGGCAAAAGAAAATGCTGCAAGTAGGTGTAGTAGCACGCACCAAAAACTAAATTGCGGAGATGTAACCAACTTTTGGATGAACTGGAAGTCAAAAATTGACCTGGAAAGATTTCATTAAACCGTTAGAGGGATGCAAAGTCTAACAAAACATCCTTCACAAAGGGATCACATCTTAGACCTGCCATGGTAAACAATTAGAAAAGAATGAAGGATAGTTACTTAACCTCTTATATTAATATCAAAAACTGCATTGTTTGAATAATCATCAAATAGAGACATACACAGCACAAACAAAAACAGCAGTACCAAATCATGGAAACCTAAATCAGGTAAGTTGAGAAATCAAGATTCCAATCAGCAGTACTAAATCATGAAAACTTAATCAGGTAAGTTCAGGAATCAAGATTCCAATGGCCTTAACCTCATTCTCATATTGAAAAACAAATATAAAGAAACAGACAGACAAAGTATGATAACTAAAGGAAGTCCAACTCACTTCCCTTTGTGAAAGAATATAAACGGAAAGAAAGTGTAGATCAAGAGTGATAGCGTACTTCAACAATTTCACATAGTCACTTGCGGAGTCAAACACATCAATGTCAAATTGACCGTCAGGACCCGAAAAGTTTGAAATGCCAATTGCCGAGATATCCACCTGAATACACATGTCAAGCATGTGATTGAAATGATCCATATAGTAAAATTATTTTAAAATTTTACCATAGTTTAAGGATTCAGCATTACATCAGGTAGGCCTTCTGCAATAAAATACTCCTTTATTGTTTTAGTGTTCTCAAAGATTTTATCAGTAATTCCTTCAGGTGCCGGCCCCCCATTTCCCATATTGTATTTAATTCCGAAGTCCTGAAAGAATGAGCAGGTAAGTATAAGTTAGACTATTTTAATCATGTTCAGAGTTTTGCTATCAGTAATAAATTACAACATACCTCATTGGGACCACCTGGGTTGTGACTGGCTGTCAATATAAATGCCCCATTCGCCTTGGATCCCTAGAATATTACAGGTATGAAGGTCATTAATTATTGACTTAGAAAGCTAATCCTCATCATTGCTTGGCAGATAGAATTTTAAAGCAGATAAACTTACATCAGCGCCAACTCTTTCTCGTACAATTGCTGATACAGCAGGTGTTGCCATAAGCCCATTTAGACCAACCCATACGCGTCTTACTCCATTTGCAGCTGCCATTTTAATTATTATCTGCAGTTTTTAAGATAGAATATCAGGTGGATAATACAGCATGTGGTAGACAAGACGAACCATAGAATCTAGTACCAGTTACGTTCATATTGAAAAGCTTTAACAAAACTGCAGCTCTGAAAATAACATTCAGCTTAAGAAGGCATAACACAAAAGATTTTCCATAAGCTTTGACAAGTTGTATGCCAATAACTATATAATGGTGGTCAGAGGTCATGCAAAAGCATTGAACCTCTTGTTTCTTGGATATGCACCAATAGCTTGATAAAAAACCAACCATGCATACATATTTTAGAAAGAAAACATGTGGAAATTATTTTAAAAAATAGGTTCTTGACAAAGTCCGGCTTTTCCAGCTGCTTGGTTTTTCACACGGTGGAGGGTGAGAGAGTTGTTACAGATGTAGCCACATCTCCCATGAAATCTACCACACATATTTTGCCACTTTTGAACCCAGCTACTCTGATGGTTTTCAGACTTCTAGTAGTTTGTTTGTCTTTAGAAGCACCAATATCTGCTTACAATTTGTTTTTCAAGAGAGGTTAGAAAGTTGTCTTTTGTATTTAGAGCATCGTCCACTCCACATGTACAGACTTTATTGGAGGTATTTTGTGTTCAAGATCCTTACACATTATTTTGCCCAATAGAAAATCTATTTTCCTTTTCAACATCTCATCGAGTTCTGAATTTCTTCAAAAATGCCTATCACAGCCATAATGGCATTCAAGTGATGCCCGGTGATTTCCTCATGGAGATAGAAATACTAGTGACGATGAGCTTTATTTTCCTGGAGAAGAAGCAATGATGGTATTCCTTGTAGGATGCCATTGAGATCTAAACACTCCTACTCTATAATGTCCTCTGGTCTGAGAATAAGATAACTCTCTGACTGTAGCATAACCACCCTCAAGTACATTTTTGTTCCCATGCACCTACAATTGAAACTAGGGGCTAGCAAGTCCTGCTAGCATCAGTAAAATAATAGATCCTGAAGAGCTTCCTTCAGGACAAGCGTTAAGCAGGAACTGGATTGGGAATGATCTCTTAAAAGAGGGAAGTGAGTTTGAGGCAAGAGAAGATGAAATCTCTAATCTACCTACAATCTCTTCAAAAACAATGGAACGCCTAGAGTCAAAAGATCTTGTTCAGGTTTTACTTCGTCTTTGGGAAGCACTTAAAGATACATAGAATAGGATTCCAATGGGAGCACGTGTGTACCACACAAGTGTTTTAAAGCTTCTTTGTGGTAGAATAACTCATGTCTATGGACCATTAGGTTCCACAGCATTCCACGGTGCCACATTACCCCCATTATCATCCACTAGCAAATCAGGAGCAACAGGATTCTGAATACGACAATGCTCCATGGCTATCGAAACTTCCAAAGTCATGTTTTAATGAACATGGATCAATGATCCCCATTGAACCATTTAATTTCATCAGACCTTTGAAGAATAACCTGATAATTTATTTGAAATACATTGACTAGAGAAAAAAGGACTTAGTGGTTCTTTCATTGTTGTTAAATGGCAGACATGACATATCCAAAGTGCACTACTGATGAAATCAGCCATATCATTATTGCTCGTATATTTTATTCTCGGTGTTCTCTCCTTATTTTTAACAAGAATCCATTTAGAAGTTCCGATTTGCAACAGAAAAAAAGCACTCCCATATGTTATGAAGAGATAATTTCCAGAACTAGGTCTTGGCACTCAAATCTTAAAGGGTCCTTTCAAAAGGTTAATACAATTTACCTGGATTGCATCCTTTGAGAAGTACCGTCCATCACCCGAAACAACAAGTGTAGAACCTGCATGTATGCAAAATGCATCATTGAGGTTGGACATAGTACTTAGAACATGAGAGAGGGAAGTACTAAAAATATGCATACGAGACCAATAGAAGAGATCCTTACAAGAGAAAGACTGGGAAACATGCTAGAAACATTCTCACACAAACTAAAAACATGCAACTCTTTTGACTGGTAGAAAGGCTGTGCCAAAATTGCCAAGAACACCAATTTCTCAAAACTTACTGGAAAAGCATGGCTTGACAGCTCAATCATTGTGAGGCTATGAGGCTTTTGGCCCTATAAGAATAAGATGCTAGAAGACTCTAGATGCAAAGTCAAGAACATCATCATTGCCTTTTATTCAGCACTCTCTTATATTGTTACTGCAATTCGTCTTGAACCAAAATAAATAAAGCTAAAGGCAAGCATCGATACATGGAAATTAGGACAGTTTTTGTCCACAGTGTTGAGAAAAATAATCTGTTGCATGACCTAACATAATATTACTAAGACTTATTTCTGATAAGCAGGGAGGTGCCAAGGTCTCTACCTTTAACTTTCTCTGCAGAAAGGGCGTTGAATGTTGATTGAACAAAATTGTGCAAGTAATGTGGTTGTGTGAATACTTTTACCTGGAAAAATGCAAGTCAAACACATCAGTTTGCCAGTTAAGATGAAACCAATATCAATCAAAGGAGGATATCTTGCAACCAAAAAGTGTATTATGTAGACATGGGTCCCTCAAGTAAATTCATGATGATGGATTCTACATAAATTACAAGACAAGTCTATGAAGAGAACATGTTACATATACATTCGTGAGTTACAGATGAAAATAATAAAGGAGTATGTCAAATGAGTTTTTCTCTGTGAAATAGAGTCAAACCAACGAGTAACAAAATCTATGGTTACAGTAATGCTCCTTTAAAAAGTAAATAATATCTTATATGCCATGACGGGCTGTATGGAGCACAAGACAGTGGACATATCAGCTATTTTATAAGTATTCTAGCTGTTTCTTTCCGATATGTCTACAAATATTCACATACCATGCCGTGTCGTGTTGAACTGGATTATAAGCAACGCTATCCCTAGCATCACAGTAAAGCTTCATTGGTCCAATAATTGTACCTTCAATTTTTCTAGGGCTCATTTCAAACACAGTTCTTCACATATCCCATGTGCCACTCCTTGCCAATACATTTTCTTACTTCACCAAATTACCCCATTAGAAAGTGTGGCATATATCCTTTCAATGACAAACCATGACCAATCAAGCATCTTTATAGACTTCAGCAGGCCTAAGCTAATTCTTCTTCAAGAAAAAGGTTTCTAGAGTACTCTTTAGATATGTGACATATAATCAACTTGTCAACGAGTTTCCAATCTCAAAAGTATCAACAAGGACCTTCTTTTTGCTGTCTACCAATTTTTTATTAGGGTCTACTGGAATGTCTGCAAGTCTATAGCCCATCATACATGTTTCTTCAAAGTTCAAGGACATACTTTCTCTGGATAACCACAATTTCATTCTTTCCATGTCCAGAGGAGATCATAGATCTTTGATATCAAATTATGAAGCCAAAACGTCCTTCAACCTCTCCATTTGAGCGAGGTCATCTCCTGTGAGAACAACATCATCTATATGAAGTTTTCCCTCATTGAAACCAGTGAAGAAAAGTGTGATTCGTTTGCCCTCGGATTGACTGATTAAGTTGCAATTAGACGAAGTATAGTTTGTGCATTTAATTTAGTAAAAAAGAAAACATCTTAGCAATCCATATCATAAGTTTGAGTAAACCCTTTCCCTACCAGTCGATCCTTGCACCTTCTCTAGTGATCCATCTGAATTATACTTAATGGTGAACACCAGCATGAAACTAATTGTCTTTTCCCTTCTAGAGGATCAACCACATCTTAAGTCTCATTTTTTTCAAGTGCCTTCATTCCTGCTATCACCTTCTTATTCGGGAACATCTGGAGCCTCCTAGACACTATCTGACATTTCTACATTAGACAGTTTAGATATTAAAGTTATCAACAGAGTTACCCACAACTGATGTGTTTTTGTCACTCGTCATCTCCAGCCTCTTATCTTTCAAATAAATATTGACTAACAGACCCCAATAACATACTCCCTTTGTCCCTAAATGTAAGAAATACTTTTTGGCATGCAACTGTAGGAGTTTCTTGTTCATCAATTGAAGTTTGTTCTCTACCAACTTTTTTGATAATCATTTTCCTAGAAAAGTGGGCATTTGTAAAAGAAAGCTGAAAACAACTTTAATCTAAATGGAGCAAATAGCTAGTACAAACATGTGTTAAAGAGTAAACATTGCCAGCTTAACCATGTATGTATTTTAATCATCTGCTAAACTTGTAACACGAAGACATATCATGTTAAATGTGTACATTCCTAAGGTTATTTCAACTCAAACTTTGCCGTGATTATCTAAAGAGAGTATAAGAATACTCTCCAATCACTAGTAATACAAATATTCCTCCATAGCTACACATATAAACAGTATTGGTACCAAAAAATGTATCAAACCCATGCTTTGTCCAAGGGCTACTTACTGAGTTAATGTCCCTTTCCTGTCACAAGCAACTTCTGCATCCACTGTAACGTGTCACCTGTTAAACCTTCACTATCCAGTTTGAGATTTTAAGTCCCAGTTGCAGCTTATTATTCTTGTTGCATAAACTTAAATCCCTTCTAGCTTGACTAAATTTTTGGGCTAAGGAACACAAAGCTGTAAGAACTACTTTGTGGGACTCACAAAATAGAGGTCTCCAAGGCAGATTATCCATATGTGCCTGACAATGACCATTTCATTTGGAAATGCTGCTAAATAGAGATCTGGGGACCTACATTATGGAAATAATAGCTTATTCCAGTGACCAGATTGTGTTTTTAAGCTACATCAGCAATTCTTTTCTCTTGTTCTGGCATCACATGAAGCTTTGGACGGAAAGTTGAACAGAGCATGTATACATAGGCTTCTCACAGGAAAATCAAGCCCTGACAGCTGAGATATACCACCTTACTGTCTTAACCCTCAATGAATATTCTCAACATTATCAATTAACCTCTTAGAACTTGAAGAAATAAAATTTTATTTACGCTAACAAACGTATACCTGCATCCCATGATCAAAGTCTGCTTTTATAATTATGGACCTCTAATAATAGCATCTCCTAGGTTCAAATATGACTAAGAATTTTCTAGTTCTTTAGCTCAAAATGGGGCTTCTTTATAGTTTGCATACCTACTACTTCAGCACTACTGCCTAAACAGGCATAACCAAAAAAAGTGGACTCTTTTTCTTGGGCGGAAGGGAAGGAGTAGCATTAGCTTTGCAGTCCAATGAAACTACCATCTTCGCATCTAGGATAAGGTAATGTTTGGACCAACGGGATCTTATCACACCTATTAGGATTTAGGAAGCGAAACTCGTGAAATAAGATCGATTTTTCCCTAATTATGATCTAAGCCACAGATTCCACACTCCAGCACAAGGTAGCATCATACGACATGCAATAGATCTGTGCACATAGATCGATCACACACCAAAATTCAAAAGTAAGATTCAAAACTATCATAACTACAAACACGATCCGATCCCACTTTAAACATGCATGAACGAAAGGAAACATTTCACAAAATCAAATACAAGCAGCGCCTACATCTATTACTACTTTCTTCCTTAAAGCAATCAAGATCAAAACATGCCACAGATCTACGACGCAATATCTAAAATCAAATCAAAACAAAGTAGAAAAAAACACCTTCTTCCTGAGTCCAGAAGTGCCAGGCTTTTGGCCTTCGATAGGGGATGATTCAACACGATTAACCTTGAAAGTCGCCATTACTTGCGTTTGTTCCTGTAACGCTAAGGAATTAGGAATGTAATAAGGAAAAGACAGAAAGAGTAAGGAGTAGACGAGAGAGATGGTTACCGATTGGCGAAGATGAAGAGAGATGAGTGATGGTTGTCGAGAGAGAAAGAGATAGTGAGTGAGTGAGTTGAGAGAGAGATATAACGTGGCGGGGGATATTCTAATATTCGGAACCGCAGAACGCTTCAGACGCCCATCTGTCGACTAGATCTGGAAGACACCGTTTTCGACTCGTGGCCCCACATGGAAATGGATCCAACCGCTGCCCTTTTTTTCTCCCCTACGCAACAAAAAGGGCCTCCATTCATTAAAAATAATTACTATGGGCTCACTCAGATACCGAGAGCCTAGCCGACCGGGTCCACTCGGTACCTCTTTTGTATTTAGACAAAATTATCGTAGTTTTGTTTAGAAAGTATACCAAATTGCATCAATATTGAGTTTCAAACCCAAACGAGATTGGTATATCCCATCTGAAAATGGGATTCGACAGTTGGGTTGTATACAGACATGACGTTTCTACTCTTATCAAATAGAGTTGTTATTTTCATAAAAGACACTCGATACGTAATCGGTTCAACAAAATACTTAAGGTGGACAACATTTGATCAGGTCGAGCTTTCGATCCCAAACCCATGTAGATGGTATAAGCGTTATTTTATTAAACACGATCATTCATGTCCCGCCTTAAGAGCTTGAGATCGGAATAAAAAATATCTTAACTTCGATTATAAGAACAAGGTAGCATAATTGAATACATAAAAAAAATTACAAGAATATTTACCACATATATAAATATAGATGGACATGAAACTAAAAGTGATCAAAGATTCAAATATCTTCTTATACCATAACTTCTCTTCACACGATCTTTCGCGTATATATACACACACACACATATACAGAGAATCCCCGGATCAGTTTCATTTGAAAACGTAATTTATAGGTTGATTTGAGATTAAAAATGATCAACAGTCTAAATCTCTTCTTATACCCCAACTCCTATTCTCACATGATCGTTCATCTATACATATATAATATAAAAATATTTTAAGATATTAAAAGATTGTAGTCCTTGCTAATTGCTATTTACCTCAATCCTACCTCCTAACTAAGCTATACAGCTTCATTTTTGTGGAAAAAGAAAAGGCACCACTCCCCAACCACAAGCTTATCAAATCAATCTTGAATCTCCATTGGTCGTTTACCATGAGGATCTGATGTTGAACCCACAAAAAAGGGCCGTTCAAGCTTCCAATCGGGAACCGAACTCGAGTCGCCAAGAGCAGCAGTACCTGTGGCGGCCGTGGTGGTGGTCAGTGAAGAACGAGAATTCGACACCACAAAAGCAGATGTGCTACTTGTGCCCATGGTGGTGGAACTGGTGGCGATGGTGGATGACTCGGAACTTGATGCACCCGATGTCCCTGCCATAGAGGATGATGTAGCCAGTCTACGTGACCTTCTGTACCTTGTGCCCGGGTAACCAGGCCGGCTTGGCTCATCTAGTGCACCCGTTTTCCTAGTTAGCATCACGACCACCCGCCGCATGGTGGGCCGTTGTTGGGGGTCCGATTGGGTGCATAACAACCCGATCTGTATGCACGCCGACACCTGATCCAGGTCAGCCGAAGAAGCCAGCGATGACTCAAGAATTTCAAGGCTTTTGCCTTTCTTGTACTGCTTGTATGCCTGTATAGAAAGCGAAAATTTAGTGTAAAATAATTCGTGCTATGATCTTCCAAAGCATAAGCGATCGTGTTTTTACCCAATCTAGTAGATTTTGGCACTCAGGATCGAGGTTGAAAGCCGAGTTCTTTTCACCACTAACGAGCTCGAGAACCACCACGCCGAAGCTATAGACATCCACCTTCACCGATAGATTACCATGCATAACATACTCTGGTGCCATATACCCACTGTATTTAAAGGCAGAAATCCATTTAGTTTTTACTATATTTGATCAGTTTATCAGCTAACAACCAACTTAACAGACAACAACTAGCTTAGTTTGCCAAATATAGTCTAAATCGAGGGAAAACATACTTGGTACCAGCTACACGGGTGTTAACGTGACTTTGTTCTTCAGGGTAGAGTCTAGCCATGCCAAAATCCGCAATTTTGGGTATCCATTTGTTGTCTAATAGGATATTGCTGGCTTTGATATCTCTATGGATGATACGATCATGGGAGTCTTCGTGAAGGTAAAGCAAGCCACGTGCGACACCAACAATTATGTCGTATCTTCGCTTCCAATCTAGCACCTCCCGATTTGCTGATTCTAGATCAAGAAAATCATAGTCACCATCAAGAATATTACGGTTTGTTGGAGTCCCACATCAGCTAAACTTGGACACTTTTTATTCAATATATGTTAACGGGGTTTTCATTCACATGGTATCAAAGCCAAGGTGTACCCATCTGGACATCAAACATTCTAGAAACAACCAAGAGAGAAGGAACTTACTGAAAAGATGCTTGTCTAAGCTCTCGTGCACAACATATTCGTATACCAAGAGCTTCTCCGGGTTCCCACAAAACCCCAACAGGCTCACAACGTTTCGGTGTTGCACCCGTGCCAATAGTTTGGCCTCGTTTATGAACTCCTTTTTCCCTTGGCTTGACGATTGTGACAACTTCTTCACAGCAATCTCCCTCCCATCCTCCAACTTCCCCTACAAATCCAAACACCAGTTTGATACAATATATAAAAAAAAGATCAATCAATCATCATGAAACATCCGGTTTCCAAGAATCGTACTCGGGTATTAGCATGGGTCCTTTAGATAAATGAACTTAAATGGGTTTCCTAACTCGACTATAATTGTTATGGAAGTAGCATTCCAAAACTTGTCGGATCATGGATTTAAAAGAAAATCGGGAGAAGGTCATTTAATCTAGAATACACTAGACAGTCAGACAAGTCTTTTAGGCATTCACCAATGGGCCTTTGGCCTAGCGGTATGTGAGTACATAGCCTCTAGGAGGTCAAGGTTCAAACCTCACCAAAGGTTATTTGTTCTATTTACGGTATATACTTTAAAAAAGTCTTTTAGGCATTCATGTGTATGAAAATGGCATCATTCAGTTAGAGCAACTCCAATTGAACGGCAAAACCCTAGTTTTGCTGTTCTTTTGGATTCAATCGCACGCCAAATACACCAAAGTTTTGCTGGAGGAAGGAAATGATCGGCAAATTTGCCGTGGAAGAGATGGACGGCAAAAGGTTGGATTGGAGTATTTTTTTGGTGTTTATGTGCCCACGTATTTGGTTTTTTTTTTTTTTGTGAAGGTTGGAGTTGCCCTTAGGCATTGCCATTCTCAAATACCCATATAATATCAAAATTTTGCATAAATTTTGATTGCTAAGGGCAACTCCAACCTCATCACCAAAAAAAAATCAAAAACATCAAATCTGGTGGGCCCATAAACATCAAAAAAAAAAACTCAACTCCAATCACACTCTAAAAAAACACMAAATTTRTSGACCCCACATTAAAATAATAAATATAAAAACCTAAAACTTAATATTTGTAATTATTTATTTATTTATAATTTATTTAAAAATCATTAAATATTAGAAAAAGATGGTGGGGACCACCAATTTGGCAAGATGCCGTTCATCTTCTTCCCCGGCAAATATGCCGGCCATTTTCAGCAAACGCTATCCTTTTGGTGTTTTTGCTGGACAATTGGAACCAAAAGAACGACAAAACTAAGGTTTTGCCGTTTGATTGGAGTTGCCCTACGAAATACCCACTTCATTGGCATTGGTTTCCACCATTTTCTTACATTTACATTTGAACCACATGAATTAAAGGGAACCCAGGATCACACAATTTACCTACACCACATATATATATATATATGTATGTATGTATATATGTATATATATATATATATATGTATGTACAGATTACAATGAGTTAATGATGAAAAGAAGGTAGAGCAAAGAGGGGATTAGTAGAACCTTGAAAACAGGGCCATAACCCCCTTGACCAAGCTTGTTATCTGGATGGAAATTTTTGGTTGCAGAAACTAGGGTTTGAAAGCTGAAGATCTTCTGTTCTTGGGCAGCAATCTTTTCTAGTTCTACTTGTTGAATTTCTAATTTCCAATTTAAAACACATAAGAACCCATATAAAAGAATGGAATCTTGGATGAAATCTTGAAATAAAGATGCTTGCTTAGTTACCTTTTGTTGGATTGAACTTGAATGGTTTGACCAATTTGTGGAAGAAGCTGTTAGATTTGGTCATCCTGCTTCCTGCTAACTAAACCAACCCATGAAATTGAATGATGAGATAAAAATGAAAACAAAAAGGAACCTGTGGACTTGGTGATCCTTTGCTTATAAAATAAAGAATGAAGAAATAGTCAAACACCTACGCGGCGTCCATATAAAACAATCTCCCCAGGTTTATATATACATATATAAAGAATAAAGAATAAAGAATAGAATAGTCAAACATCACACCGTCTGTAATAAAAAAAATCTCTCCGACTTTATATGTACAAAGTCAGCCAATTTGTCACCCAATCATATTGGTAAAATATTGTATGAATTTAAACTAATAAACTTGGAGAGATTCTTTACATGTGGACACTATATGATTTCTAATATGTATCATACTAACCAAAATTTAACTGTATTATTTATATTTGAAATTTAAGTTTTAATTATTTTGATGATATAATTATTGGGTTATATTCTCGGTATAAATTGTTAGTAAGCGTCTTTTATCCAGTAAATACTTACCAGATAAGAGTCGTTCCTCCTTGCTTACCGAGTAAGATTTTAGATGTATAATGTGTTCGCTTGAAATATAAGTGACACACGATAAACACTTGCCCAATAAATGTTTGATAAACAGCTTTCAAGTAGGTCTTAACCTTCTTGCAATACATTTATTTTAAAATTATAAAATAAATTAGTTTATATTAATATTGGGTCAAAAAGGACTGGATAGGGCACTAAAACAACAGAGGCCCACAATGCCGGTATTGATAACCCAAGCCCATTAACCGTCGGCCATAACATATTTAACGTATTTGAAATCTGGAAAAATCTTACCCAACTTATTCACATTAATATTTTCTTGACAAGTATCACAAGTCAAATAAGTAAATTGGGTAAAAAAAATAGAAAAAAGAAAAAGCATGCTCGCTATATTATAAAATATTTGACAAAAAAATTTAAAAATTATTTTTTATGCACAAAGTACTGTTTATCGATGCATATTACTTAAAGTTCAATATTACAAGTAAATTATACGTAAAGACAACTTATTAGAGCTCTACGTTTGAATTCCTGTAACTAACTGCAGATAAACATAATTAAATAGAGGAAAAATATCTCATTTTAAATATAAAAAATTTAAAATTTAATTAGGATAATTATTGAATTTTAACAAAATACTTAATTACTATCTTTATAAGAAATTATATTATCAAACCAAAATAACTTTGTTATTAAACCTAAATTAAGTTTTAATGAAAAAAATGAATTAAAGAAATTACACAATTCTTTTTAATATAGTTAGTTTGATACTAATATCAATATATTTTTTTAAAAGTTTTATGATATCTTCATATTTATATTTTATTAAAAAATAAAAACATTATCGCTTTCTCAAAACCATATAAAACGACATTAAAACATCGAACAAACAAAAAAATAAAATAAAACATTAAAATCGAAATATATCTCGCTACATTGTACGAGTATCATTTTTATTATTTTTAAAAGAATTAACTGGCACATTTGATTAGATAAATATTTAGTGTGTATATATATATATATATATATATATATATATATATACTTGGGATCATGTGAGACCAATGGTTTTTCGTGAGACTCGTAAGACCAATTCTCAACGCTTGGATTAGATTTACAATCGTCAGATCTGAACATTTATAAACGCCATGAGACTTCTCACTAATTACGAAATTGCCACCTTGCAACTTTGCAACCATTAGATCATTAATTCATAAATTTGATCAATGGACATAAACTGGTCTTACGGGTCTCACGAAAAACCTTTGGTCTCACGTGAACCCAACCCTATATATATATGTATATATATATATATATATATATATAACGTTTTAATGAATAAAAAAAATTAAATATGGCAAACAAATGATTTTATAATTCTTTTTAATATATAAATATATATATTTTGAAAAGGGAAAAATGAAAAAGAAAGGCGCCGAAGAGGATGATGATGGGATGCTGGATATAATGATGTATTTGCCACCAAACGCGAACCGATCTCAATCATTATTTAATTACCTTTTTAATTCTTTAATCATATCCTTAATCCACTTTTACTATCTGTAAATTCATCATTAACCCATTCATATATAAAATTATAAATTTTCTATTAAAATATTTACATTTAAATCCAATAAATATTTATTTTAAGGATTTCAAAATCATATTTTCAATATATTTTTTAATTATTATTATATAAAATAATATATTGATGAGAATAAATAAATAAAAAGCCATTCTTTCTTCTCCTCCCGTTAGAGAACCATTTAAACTTTGAAGTTTTTTTTTCTCTCTATTTTAAATAATAATATAAAAAATTATTGGAGCAAAACAGAGAACATAACTTATGTATTTCTAATTTAAAGAACATGTTGAGGATGCTATACTGATCTATAATGAAATTCTGTTAGACCATCTCCAACAAGTTCTTTAAAATAAAAAAGTAAAACTTAAAATCTTTGTAAGAAAATACATTTAACTCCAACAGATTCACTATTTTGAAGATTATAATATTAATTATATTATTAAAATAATATTTATCTATCATAAACATATAATCAATGTTTCTAACTGGTGAAAATGTAATAAAATTTGTTTTATCTTGTATGGTAATCATTTTTTTGGAGTTCTCTAAATTTGAAGAATTTCACTATCTCTCATGTTTTCTCATTTTAAAGAAGGTTTTAGAGAACCTGTTGAAACAAATATCACTCAAAATCTGTATTTTTATAAAATTTGTTGAAGATTACAGTTTGTTAAAAACTAAAGGAATCTTGTATAAAAAAGTGTTTTCTTTTTGGAGTATTTAATGAAGGGACGACTGAATATGATAGGTTATATAAAAAGTTATTAATCACGTGTTAATATACATTAATTAACCTTCTTGTACTGTTTCCCATTGAAATTAATGAAATAAAGTCGAGTCTAAGAAACATTAATTGATCAATAAATAAAAAATAGGTTTAGTGATGAAGTAAAGCATAAGTCATCCATAGTCGTATGCTTTTCTCAATTTCTAATATTCAATACAGTTTTTTTTTAAATAAACAAGTAAAAGTTTAAATCTAATATATATATATATATATATATATATGAGTAAGATTTTTTGTTAAACAAGAATATGATGTTAACTTTGTAAATTTATTGGACTAATAAAATTCATTTTTAGTAATGATGAAGAACAAATATATAACTTTTATGTGTAAGTTACTTTTATGGTATTTAATGATGTTTATAACAATGTGTTAATAACTATAAGATATTCATAAGAATGTGGTCATAGGTGTTTATAACCATAAGACGTTCATAACCATATAGTGTTCATAGGTGTTCAATAATATTTATTTTTTGAAGTGTATTGTTAATGTCGTTTCTGGTGATATGAACAATATGGAGGAAAATATTGTGAAATCACTGATGAACATATTGCTATAAGTGTATAACGTTCATTGTCTACCAAGTGAATTTTTATGAACATAAAGAGGGAGATGCTCATGTGTATATTAATGTTCATAATGATGGAGATTTTTTTTGTTAATAACAATGAATTCATGTTCATATGAAAATTAATGTCATTAATGGGGCGTTTTATAAACATTATGATTTTTTTTGTCTTCTAATAATACTATTGTTTATGTATGTTCATCTTAGATGATAATGTATTATATTATTAGTTATTACAAAATTGTCATCTATTGATTCACAAGATGAATGGTTGTGATTGTTTACAAAGTTAATACCATAAATTGGGTTAACAAAAGAACTTATCCTTATATATATATATATATATATATATATATATATATATAACAGGGTTTTTAATATGAATTTTTGTACACAATTATATTATTATTAATATATTCAATGCATTTAATATTATAACTAACTGTACATTATTTCAAACGCCTTTATTAAAAATGTTTTGCAAATGTTGAGAATTATGCACATAACAGATAAGTTGAGGCCGAGGGGAGAGAAGATTGTGATGTTTAATAGATCAAGTGTTCATGTTCATATACGACAAATGACGACTTTGGTAAAGAAAAGGTAGAAGATGTCATGGTCGAGGGAATGAGGAGGAGGGTAGCTCGAGGTGAAATTGGGATGACTAGTTGTGGCTAGACATGACATTTTAGACTTTTTTTCACGATCATGACTTTTGGTAGCCATTATTGGAGACGAAAGACTAATGTAGCATACCAGGGATAAGAATCTATATAGGAAGGGATATGGAGAGATCAATGACGTGGATAAGGTTAATGACACGTCATTCAGATCCTTTGTGTCCTAGGTTATACTAGGGGTGCATCGGTTATATCTATATTTATGCTATATTATAAAGCATTTGACAAAAACTCTTAAAAACCATTTTTTATGCATAAAGTACTGTTTATTAATGCATGTTATTTAAAATTCAAGATTACAAGTAGATTATACGTAAGTACAACTTATTAAAGCTCGATATCTGAATTTGTGTAACTAACTGCAGATAAACATAATCAAATACATGATAAACATCATTTTAAATATAAAAAAATAAAAATACAAAAACAGAATATTTAATTATTATTTTAAAATTTTATTTTATTAATCCAAAAATAAATTAATTTGTTATTAAACTTCAGTTAAATTATAATAAAAAATTAAATTAAAGAAACTACACAAAAACAAAATTTTAAATAATTAATTTGATACTAATATCCATTTCTTTTTCAAAAAAATTATAATATTTTCAATTTTATATTTTATTCAAAAATAAAAACATTTTCCTTTTTCTCAAAATCACATAAAATCGCATTATAACATCGATAGAGCCAAAATATAAAATGAAATATTAAAATCAATATGTATCTCGCTGCATTGTGCAAATACCATTCTAGTTATATTATAAAGCATTTACGTAAAACTATTAAATACAAATTATAATACATAACATACTAACTTTTAATGCAGATTACTTAAAATTTAAGAGTACAAACTAATGATGCATTAATACAAGTTACTAAAGCTTCTTACTTTTTGTTATCACCCCCAAACCCACCCACAATGTTCATCATATCCATTTCCCTTAAATATATAATATGTCTAACTAACTAATATCGATAAGGATCAATTCTAATCATTGTTTATCTCAATTCTTTATTTCTTTGTTAGTATTTGCTTATTTATATCTCTACAAAATTAGATGACTTTGACTTCTTCATCCATGCTTAATTCTTCAAAACCCTAGATCTTTGGACCGTATATTCCCATCTGTATTCTTGAACTAATTTTGATTTTGATCTTTTGTTGGCAGATGCATTGGTAACATTTTTACAACTCAACAGTTCAAGCATCATCAAAGGTAAAGTATAAACTTCAAAAAAGTTGTGATACTTGTACCGTTATAATTTTGATTTTGATCTTTTTGTTGACAGATGCATAAGTTAATTATGGTGACTTATTGGATTATATGTATTTTCATGCTATAGTATAGAAAGGTTAAAGTTTCATATAGTGGTAAATTTTGGTGGATGTCTGCTTCGAATACGGCCATGACCTATTATCTATACTATATTATAAATGATTTGACAAAAACTCTTAAAAATCATTTTTGATGCATTAAGTATTGTTTATTGATGCATATTACTTAAAATTCAAGATTACAAGTAAATTATAAAGCTCCATGTTTGAATTTGTGTAACTAACTGCAGATAAACATAATCAAATATCGGATAAGTATCTCATTTTAAATATAAAAATCTAAAATATAATTAGAATAATTATTGAATTCTACCGGAATACTAATTATTATCTTTATAAAAAACTATATTTTTAAACCCAAAATAAATGACTTTATTATTAAATATAAATTAAATTATAATTAAAAAAAAGAATTAAAGAAATCACACAAAAAAAAAAACAAAAACTTTTAAATATTTAATTTGATATTAATATCGATATTTTTTTCCAAAAATTTATCATACATTCAAATTTATATTTTATTCAAAAAATAAAAACATTATCGTTTTTTCAGTATCACATAAAATCGTGTTATAACATCGACGAGAACAAAATAAAACAAAACAACTAAATCAAGATGTATCTCACTACATTACTCGAGTACCATTTTAGTCTTCTTAAACATGTTTTTGTTTGTTTGAAAGTTGTTGCTTATTTCCAGCTCGTTTTTTTTTTAATAATCTTAGGATGGAACTTAGTATCTAACGCCCCCTCCTTCATTGTTGAGAACCTTGGGGCATATTATTTTGTATATAAATTGATTTAATTTTTGAATATCTGTTGATTATATGCTTCAAGAGTTTATGATTTATATTTTACATGATTATATTACATCGTTTTAGGGTTTTTTTTTCTTCTCAAAAATAAAAAATTATAAAAATATGAGAAGAACAATTTGATAAGAATTTATTAAGATCTTAACTGTCATATAATACTTAAAATTTGTTTTAATATGTTATTTAATTTATTTGTTTTCAATTTACATGCATATATGGATTTTAAACAACATTGAAGTCAATAAGGCATGGCATTTCGGGATTTTCCTTATAGGTCATCAGTTCGAATCCTACAAAATCATTGTGGATTTTCCTGATTGTTCTTCAGGATTCCTCGAATCAGTCGAAGTACGTACAAACAGACCGGGTTACCAACTGTTAAAGAAAAGAACAACAACAACATTGAAGTACAACACAATACTGATAAATAAATAAATAAATAAATAGACGAGCCTCAATAAAAATAAGGGAAAAATACAATAAAAACCAATGGACTTTCTTGTTTGGAATGATTAAGTCTTTAGACTTTTTTTTGGAACAAATAAGTCATTGGACATTCCAAAACATGTTAAATAAGTCCTTGGACAATTTTTCGAACAAATAAGTCCTTGAACATTCCAAAAAATGTTAAATAACTTCTTGGACAATTTTTGGAACAAATAAGTCATTGAACAATCCAAAACATGTTATAACTTCTTGAACTTTTATAAAACATGTTGGATACATTCTTATGACTTGTACAACTAGTTAAAGTGGTAAAATAGTGAAAAAAATCGGGAAAAAAACCAAATGAACATTCATATTTTGAACGATTAAGCCCCTAAATATTTTTTGAACCAAAAAGTATTTAGATCTATAAAATTAAACAAATATAACAAAAAAGTACTTACATTTACAAAAAAATAATTACATTTAAAAAAGATTTTTGATAAAGTTTATTTTAATTAAAAATAATATATTTTATAATTTTTTTTATTTTTTTAGTTTAAAAAATCACTGACAAAATATATTTTCGGATTTTTTTCACTATTTTACCACTTTATCGTTCAAAATATGAATGTTCATTGGGGTTTTTTTCGGGATTTTTTTCACTATTTTACCATTTTATCGTTTAAAATATGAATATTCATTGGGGGTTTTTCCGGATTTTTTTTCCACTATTTTACCACTTTATCTTCAAAATATGAATGTTCATTGGGGTTTTTTCTGGATTTTTTTTTCCACTATTTTACCACTTTAACTAGTTGTAGAAGTCATAAGAATGTATCAAACATGTTTTATAAATGTTTAAGAAGTTATTTAACATGTTTTGGATTGTTCAAGGACTTATTTGTTCCAAAAATTGTCCAAGGAGTTATTTAACATTTTTTGGAATGTCCAAGGACTTATTTGTTCCAAAAATTGTCCAAGGAGTTATTTAACATTTTTTGGAATGTCCAAGGACTTATTTGTTCCAAAAATTGTCCAAGGACTTATTTAACATGTTTTGGAATGTCCAAGGACTTATTTGTTCCAAAAATTGTCCAAGGACTTATTTAACATATTTTCGAATGTCCAAGGACTTATTTGTTTCAAAAAATTATTCAATGACTTATTTAACATATTTTGGAATATCCAAGGACTTATTTGTTCCAAAAAAAAGTCCAAGGACTTAATCATTCCAAACAAGAAAGTCCATTGATTTTTATTGTACTTTTCCCTAAAAATAATTAATCCGCAGTAAAATACCAAATTTTATATACTTGCAAAACGACACATAAAATATTACAAACAACACCCCTTACCTTTTTCTCTACTCCGATACAAGTTCAAAATAAAGAAACATCTTTCAAAAACGAAAATAAAAAGCAAAAAACTTGATAAACCTAAACCTCTACAATCAAATAACCAGATTCCTTATAATTATAGATTCAGTTTCACATTAAATTCGATAAAATACCCATTTTTTTGCCTTTTTTTTCTCTAAAACACATTCACATGACACATGGACCATCATCTCCCTTTTTCCCTTCAAAAGTGGAGATGAATTGACACAAAAACCCTCCGGAAAAAAATTGGGTTGATTTTGAAAACCCATTAATAGTACAAGGGCATATATGAAAAAAAAGAAAATAATTCACCTTTCACGCCATAGAGCCTCCATGGCCTTCTCTTCCAAAATTAATGCATATCCAATCCGTTATTCGAGTCGACTAAGCATAAAACGATCATTTGTTTTACAGATGGCTCGGAGTTATGGATTGTGTTACCTGATAGAGATTTGTAGAGGATCATATGAAGGCATTATCATTGTAATTTCTTGTTCGGAGATCTCGAAGATGTTGCAAGATTTCTTGAAGAAGTTCCATTCCTTTATCCCCCTTGTTCATCGAGCCGATGCAATGTTTTAAGAACTCCTTATCGGCCTCGAGACCTTGTAATCTTGCATACAATTGATCTACTTCCTCTTCCATATCGATTCGCTTCTTCTCGAGTTCAAATCTCGTGACGGCCGTGTCTTCAAACTTGGCGTTTCTTACCGTCATGCCATCTTCGCTCCCGCTACTAATGGCATCGAAAAGCGGAAGAAGACTCTTCCCGATTGGTTGTGGTTGTCTTCCGTTTTGCATGAACTCAACAACCGGTCCTTTAACACCGTGATTGGCAACCTCTTCATAGTGATCCTCGATTACGCTAACTTTAGCAAAATGTCGGTCCTCTTCGTCACTCAATGCAAAAAGCTTCTCTTCTAGAACCTTCAGTTGTTCGAGGATCGACACCCGTTCTTCCTCGAACGATTCCAAATCTAGAACAGAGTGGATCGGGGTGTTTTGATGTTGACTTTCTCGATTCAAGTCAGCCGACAATCCGTCGTCGTCCTCGGAATGACTCCAAGAAACCGAAGACGTCCCGGTTTTCGTACTCCTCTGCAGAAACCGCGTCTTCTCCTTCGATTCGTAATCCAACACTTTCTTTCGATATAATTCCAATTCCGTTTGCTTTTTCATCATAAGTTCGTTCAACAGTTGCAAAGCGTCGTGATCATATTCCGACTGTTCTTCCATCATTCGTTGATACTGCAATGCCTCCATCTGCATTGCCGCCTTCTCTTCTTGGAGACGGTTTATCATCGCCATGGTCTCGTTAGCAGCCACCGCCGCAGCATTCCTCTCTTCCTCCAATTCCGTGTATAAATGATGTAATGTTTTCCGCTCGGCTTTCAAAGCCGATTTCAGCTTCTCGGATGTGTTCACAGGATCGCCGCTGTCGGTTTCACTAATTGCACTTCCGTCAAATGACTCTTCCGTCCCTGATTCTTTCATTTCCGGCATCAACCACTTCTTGTGAAGTGGATTGAGACTATAAATCGAAGACGGTGTTTCCGGAGCTTTTTCTTCCTCAATTTCATCGAAATTCTCGAGCTTCATGTCCGCATTTTCAATATTCGAATGCAAATTAGCGGAAGTTATCGAATGTTCATCACGTTTGATCTCATCACATGAATCCAAAACAGGGATTTCCGTTCCGATCGAAACCTCTTCTTCTTCTTCATGGACTGCAAAAAACATTAAATTCGATTCAAATTCAAATAAATTCGATTCAAATTCAAATAAATTCGATTCAAAATTGATGGATAAAAGTTACCTGAATGAAGATCTGAATCACTTTCTTGAAGTTCTTCGTTGTCGACTGATTGGATTTGAGTTTCTTCATCAATGGCGACTTGTTCATCAGTGAAATCAATCAAATTCTCATGGTAAACAAGAGATTTCTCATCATATTTTGGTGATTCCTCTGTTTTCTGATGAACAGATTCATCATTGCCTTCTGATTTCACCTGAGCTTTTTGAAAATCCCCAAATTCATGATCTTCATCTTCAGAATTTTTCGGGTTTTCCTCTGTTTTCGAATCGAGTAATTCGAATGGAAACAACTGATTTCCACTGTAATCAATGAAGAACTGAAGATCATGAGTCGCCGAAATCGAATCTTCCTCTTTTTCAAATCGAATCAAATCCTGCTCCGAAAAATTTGAATCTCTAATCACTTCAATCTCATGTTCCTCTGTTTCAAGTTCTTCATTACCATCATTCCCTTTTTCGCTTGCAATTTCTTGTTTTTCTTCAATGGAATTCGATTCTATTTGTTCTTCCGAAATGATTTTCGCTTCATGATCATCGATCAGATTCTCCTTTTTGGCATCATCCAAAATATCCGACAAAGGATGAATTACAAAACAAGAAGAATCGTCAACAAATTTCGTCTCAAAATCCACATCGCAGCAAGAACACTTCAATCTCACTTCATCTTCTCCATCACTCTGAATCACATCAATCCTTTCCACCTTCGAGAACACAAATTTCTTCGATTCTCTCCTAAAACCCAGATTGGATGATGAACAATCTTCACATAAATCCTGGGATTCCGCTAACTTTTGATGAATCGAACAAAACCCCAGATGAGAAACCTCTTTTGAATGAAGCTCGCACAGATGGTTTCGATGGGAATTTTCGTTTCGGGGTTCAAACAGTCGATCGATTCGAGCACACCAGAAACATGGAGGGTTTAAGGCAAAGAATTGGGCGAATTTGATGATGAAATAAGAGAAAAGGGAGTTTAGAAGAAGGAGAAGTATAAGCGTCCATTCAAGAAGTGCATAAATGAGAATGAGAGTGATCTTGTTTGTGTTGTTATGCAACATGGTTGCAAACTTGTTTGCAGCCATGGCGGTCTACACTCTCTTTCCCACGTATATTTACAGAAATAGAAGGGAGAAAGAGGCCAAGAAATGGTTAAAATTGGAACAAGTGATGAAAAGGGTTTTAGGAGTTTCCAAAATTTGGACAGGAATTTGGGTGTTTGATTAGAAAGACGCCCAAATTCTAGAGAGAGAGAGAGAGAGAGAGAGAGAGATGTTCTTGAAGCATTTGACAGTTGAGACTCTTGACTCAGTTTTAAGCAACAGATTTAGACTTTAATGCATATCAAATGGGTTTACATTCTTTTTAGTTTTCTAAATTGCTAATAATAAATAAATGAAAAGTAAAATTCACGGTCTTAAAACGCATATGATAAAGGAGGTATCAAACTCCTTTATAAGACAATATTTATTCCTCTCCCCAATACCCCAACCAATGTGGGATCTTACAATTCACCCTCTTGGGAGCCCAACATAACATCTCGGCTCTAACACCATATGTAACATCTCTGGTCAACATATTGTCTGTTTTGTTCACACACCCGAACTCACTGTTTTAAAACACGTTTGATAGAAGAGGTATCAAACCCTTATAAAGGCAAGTTTTTGTTCATCTCCCCAACTGATGTGGGATCTTAATTATAACTTACGCGTATCAACTAATTTCCAAGACAATCACAAATGACCTGAAGTCATCGTAGGTGAATCTTCAAGGCCATAAGGGTTTCGATAGTACCTGGATTGGAATCCAGGAAAGATGAGATTTCTCCTACATCATCACAAACCTTAACCACTAAAAACAAAGGTCACCAATTCGAATCTTGCAAGAATACTATGGATTTTCTTAATTATTCTCCAACACCCTTGAGATTAGTCGAGATACATGTAAGTTGTCACGGACACCTACGGTTAAAAAAATAGTATAACTCACAAATATATTCTAATAACACTTTTTTATGACATTTAAGATGTATTTTGATTATAAAATAAAGATTTTGGTGTTTTATTTTATTGTAATTAATTCTTATTATGAATCTACATTAATATTTTAGAAGTAAAAGTCATCTTATTCTAGAGAGAGAATAAACTAAAATTTTATAATATAAAAATAAAAAGGGTGATTAAAAAATAAAAAAAGAAGCCAAAAACCGGTTAGAGGGGTCGATAAACCACGAAACAAGTAAATGGGGCCCACTAAAAAAGCAAGGTGTGGGGTGCCACTAATCTCATGTGTCCATCTTTTTTGACTTTTTTCCCACTATTTTAATTTTAAATAATTAAAAAAAAATCATTATTATTTCACATTTCACCGTTTTATGAAATGATATATGTGATGATATGTTTAATGAATGGGTATATGTCCATGATGACATAATCAAATATAATTTTGTTTCCTTGTTCATAAATTCTAATAATTTTGATAAAAAATGCATTTATTTGTTATTTTTTACATATATATATATATATATATATTAATCAATGAATTAAATTTAATGTATTGATTAACATATATTTATTTCACATTGTGTTTATAAATTTTGGATTTGTCAAATTATTTTAGAAAAAAATCTATATTAATTTATGATTTTGATTAACCATTACATGTAAAAATAGTAATAAATAACAATTAGTATTAATCAGAGTTATAATTGAAAAAAGTGTCGAAAAATTTCTAATACGCTACTCAAACTAACATCTTTTATAAGTTAGTTTATTAGACATCTTATATTCATCCAAACGTATATTAAAAAATATATACCAACTTATAATCTAATTTATGTTTATCGAACAACGCATAAGTTATATATAAAACGAAAACTTCAAGATAAACTAGATCAAATTCACTCAAACAAAACGTGAAAAAATCAATTTCTTTTTCTATTATCAAAGTAAAAAAATCAAATTCACATACGCGAAATAAGGAAAAAAACAGAGTATCGTATATCATATTTCTTTTTTCTTGTTATTTTGTAATAAAATATAAAAAGCGAGTTAATCTATTGATGTAATTGAAGACGCTTCGAAACATTAATGTATTTGACTGTAATCGATTTTCATAATATCTGGTGTTTTTTTTATGAAAAATAAATAATATATAACATCCTTTTAAATTGTATAGATAAAGAATTGGTATATTTTTATTATTTTATTTGGGAAAAATTAATGTAAAAGCAAGAAAAGAAAATGCAAAGTAGATCCAATTAAACTTTAAATAATTTAAATGTTGATAAAGAAATTAAGACATCATTGGGATTTGCGGGATTCTTGTAGCTTTTCATATGCTTATCATCATTTCTTTTTTTCGTTTTTTAATAATTATCTAATTTAATTGCTAATGACGTTTTAACAAAATTAATATTATTAATATAATTTAAATATGATATTTATTAAACCAATTTATTCCATATCGTCATAACCAACTATTATTCAATTCCAAAAAAGCTCAAGTTTGTTCATTTTAAGAGGAAAAAGGGGAAATGTGTTTTCTTGCATTATTTTATTTAATGGAAAATGACGTTTAACAACTCTTATCTATTTAGGTTATGTTTGACAAACTAGTTCATAAGTTAACTGATAAACAAATCATGTTTGATAAAAATTAGCTGATATGAATGTAAAATGACCAAAGGGGACTTCTTAAAAGTTGATCAATTATAATATTTCAAAATATAATTGAAACATATTTCTAATAATATAATATATTAAATAATACAAACAAAATTGGTAAAAAAAATTAAAGAATATAATATATTGGTTAAAATAATTTTAAATTGATTATTATATATTATAATAGTTGGATTTGTTAAAATAAATTTTAGAAAAAAAAATCTATTATTTATGATTTTAAATAACCATTTTCAATATTTTCATAATATTGGTCCTTGTGGTTTGTCAAAAATAATATTTTTCGTTCCTATAGTTTCAAAATTATAAGATAGTTATCGTGGTTTACAAAACCATCTAGATTTGATCCCCGCGTGTAATAATCTTTAAAAAATTCCGTTCAGTAAGAAACCATTTCATCATTTTATCGATTTTTTTTGTCTTTCACCCAATCAAAAACCACATGAACAAGAATCATAAAATCAACTTTGATTGGGTAAAAGACAAAGAACTCGATAAACGATTAAAATACCCCTTATTTCACGGAACTTTTTAACGACCGTTAGGAGGAATAGAATCCATATTTTTGTACAAACCACAATGACCTTTTGTAATTTCAAAACCATAGGAACGAAAAGTGTTATTTTCAGCGAACACAAGAACCAAATTTGTAGCTTACTCTATTTTGATTCGGCATTGAATTTGTTAAGAGTATTTTATGTATGTTTTTTCAATTTCTCTAATTCATTTTTCTCTTAATTTTAGAGAAGAGGAGAGTTTAGCATAACCGTTAAGAGTAAACTTTTCCCAATTCAAAATTTCTAAAATAGCATAGCTGTTAAAAATGTTGATATAATGACACATCAGTTAGATTGGATCATTTTCCCAAAATAAGTAGAATAATTTCATATTCAACAAGATATATAATAGAACAAAACAAGATTATAATTCCTAAAAACTAAAAAAAGATAGAGCCAAAAACAAGCATGTTACAAGAAGAATGTAAGAGCATGTTTTATGAGCAACACCAAAATCCACCTAAACACTTCTCAATTCCAGATATACACTAAAAAAAATATTCAATCTCTTTTCATTTCGCTTTTTCGGTTGATTTTCGACACAACATCATATCACAGCAAGGCTGCCCCAAATGGATTAGTCGTGTGAGGATGGCCACCGTTAACTGGCAATGGACCAAACCCCGAATCAATGAACGGGTTTGGTGCAGCCATCATCAGATTCTGCTGTGGTTGTGCAGGTTGGTATGGACCGAAGGGGTTAACCACTGCTGTTTGAGGAGCCGCGTGAAATGGATCACTTACTTCAAAAGGGTTGGGTGCCGGTGACCCATAAACAGGCTGCTGGGCAGCTCTGTATGCGCCTTCATCGTACAAACTGTTGAGTGTAAGCGAGTCCAATCCACCACCCTGCCCAACAATTCTTCATTACAACAATGTCCAGATATTTTCATCATCAATTGCTCGATGATTCTTTTCGAACACTTTGGGTTTGTTTCAGTTAATTGGCGATCGGATCTAGTTATCATAAGCATCTCTATCCCATTTTTTAAGTTTTCGTATTTACATTGTGCAAGTCAACCAAATTTGTTATATTATCTCTACGGCCAACACTACAACAAAATCGGCTTTATAAGACGTCAAATATGTCTAAATGTCCGAATACACTGCTTTATATGACTAAACAATTGTGTGTTATATGTAAATGTGTTGCAATAAGTTGATAGGACGCTTCAAGACACCCTAATTACTTTTTAGGACACTTCTAAAATAAAGTGTGCCATTAGTTTTTTATAGGACACTTTTTTTAAGAAGTGCTCTTTAGACACATTGTTTACAGGACACTTTTTCAATTAATGTCGCATTATAGATTTAATGACACTTTATTTCAAAAGTGTCTTCGAAAACTTGTCAGGACACCTAAAAGCATCCTATCAACTTATTGCAATACCTTTACATATAACAACCAGTTGTTTTATCCTATAAACTTAAGTCCTATAAAGCAATCTATTATGATATTTAGACATATTTAACGTCCTATAAAGAAGATTTTTTTGTAACGTAATGATGGGCATACAAGGAAACAAGCATAATAATGCATACACTTGTGGAAGGGGGGTTTACCAGTTGCCTCTCCTGAAATGAAGAGATATCGGTGCTGGGAGTGGTGACCAACGCAAGTTCCCATCCCGTTGGATCAAAATCTTTTGCTTGAGCACCACCAGATCCGTTCGACCGGCCATCTATACGCAGATAGAAATAACAATAGCCGATAAGCATTTCTGGTTAAGCAAATAGCTTAAATCACTGCTCAACGGGCACAAAAGATGCATTACCAGTTGGAACTATCGCAAGAGCCAACGCGTTGCTTTCGTCGAACAATGATGCATTTGGCGCATCGAAATTTAACCCCTAAACAGACCATGCAAGTCTATATATTAGATGAAAACCAAACTAAATTGGTATGTCCCACTTGACGGTGGGGTCTAGGGAGGGTAAGATGTATGGAGTCGTGACATCTACCCAAATTTCAATGTCATAAGAATCTTCAAGCGAAGGGTTAATACATAATAGACAAATTACCAGTAAATCATCAGGGTCCTGGCTGTTGAAAGTTGGTGGGGGAGGCGGAGGTGCAGGGGCAGGGATGTCATTTGACACAACTAAATCATCGGTTGGCTGGGGTTTAGCTTCATCGATGACGACATTTTCATCTTCAAGAGGCTCGGTGTTTTCTTCTGGTTTATAAGTCAGCATAAGCCTTTCTGGATATTCCTGAAAGGGTAAAATATTATGAGAATATTGCATACGAAAGAACCTATCTGCTTTTGGAGCACGGCACAGAAATGAACACGCACCAATGTCTCGGTAGGAACTGATACCATCCGTGGTGCTTCACTTATGTACTCCTCCATAGTCACAAGAAAAGATTGCGGAGGCTGCAAATGTTAAAAAGCGTTAAGTTCATCCATGATAGAATGTGGGCGGGTGAGAGGTAGGCAGGCGGGTGAAAGAGTTTTAGAAGGTTTTAGGATTTTAATTTGACATGGGTAATTAAGTAATTTATCAATTTTGTGCAATCTCCCTAATTTGTTCCACCAACTTCGGTGGGAAAGAAAAGAAATGAATTTTTGTCCCACTCAGGTCCTGTTATGTCCTAGTCTAATGTTGTGCCAAATGTGGGACAACAAGTTTTTGTATTGTCCTGTCCCATCTCACGTACCAAAAGAACACAAAAACTTCACACGCCTTAAATTACCAATAATACCCCTCATTGGTAATAGAGTACACTTGATGAAATCGTAACACACGATCGCAGATAAGATACATACCTCTCTGAGAACCGGGAACTGAAAATTTCTCGCAAGCTCCAATCCTTTGCAAACTTCATAGAAGTCAGAAAGGCTCCCAGCCTGCAGGAAGTTCAATTATACATCACAAATGTGTTTTCTTCGGCTTCTAAATCGGAATTCATGATTCAAGATGTCACCTGCTGGCCGGCTCGTTTATATATATTCAAGGCTTTGATGGCTTCATGTCTTGGCATCTCAAAAAACTGACACGAAGAAAGTTCAATCGATGATTATGATAAAATAATTAAAAGAACAACAAAGATCGTGCTTCCTGACATAGATAACAAAGAATCACCTTATCGATAAGATTGATAATTCCATCATTTATTGCACAATAAATTTTAAAGCTCTCTTTGAGCACCTGAAAATGCACAATAAAGTTGTAAAACCCGAACGCCATTTGCACCTACCAGTCTCCAATTTTCAGTCAAAATGGATTCTGTATAGGTAACAAGCACAAAAAGACGGGCCATGCATACCAAAGCCAGGGCGTATTGTATAACGTAATTTCCGACAGCTGCACCTTCCGGCTGCAGAAAAAGAGAATAGCAGACGATTTAAGTTCATTGAACAAAAACTAGAAATTGCCCGTTTTTATGATGGAGAAGGTAACAGACCCGACATCCCATAAGACGGTATAATAGCTGTTGTAAAGACGGCAAGTGTTCCAGCAATTGTTCACTATCCAAATCCCTGGTTCTGCTATAACCCTGCATTTATAAAGAAAGATATCTTAAATGAAATATGGAGTTGAAGTACAAGACATCCAAAAGAAATAAATGACGGTCCAGAAACTTAAGACAGATAAGAAACCCGTGTCAAGTTCCAAACACGGAAGCACTATGTTTTGTTCAATTGTCTGCATACCTTATTATCTTCACCTTGAGCAGGCCTAGGGATACGCTCAGCTTCAATATCATACTTCAGAATTTTAAAGCATTCAAGTCTTTCCTCTAAGAACAGTCCATATGTACGAACCCAAGCAGAACAATCCCAAGCTGGAAAACGTATTCAAGAAAACATAAGCACCCTTTTACTTATAAGTTTTTAACCCTATGTTAGAATTGACTAAAACCAACGAAATATGCTACGGATAAAAACGATAACAGGGTGTCGGAAGTAACCAATAGGGCTTGAATCGTCCTTAAAATTAGCTAGTTGCAGGACACGCCCTCTTTGTTGAAAATTTAGAAGTTCTTCCCTGAAGGTAGGATCACCCTCCCTTAACGTCTTGTGTATAACTATCAGAGTCTTCAATGCCACCTGATGAGAAACAAAAAGGTTGCAAAAGATGATACATAAACACATAAAAATATACAAACGAAACCAAACCAAACCAAACAAACACAGTATAATATCCCACCCGGAGGAGGGGTCTTTGGGGGTGGGGATGTAAGCAGACCTAACCTCTACCTCAAAACATATATTGGGTTCGTTTGGATTGGTTAGTTTACTTGACATGTTATCGATACTTCAAAGTAGTCATTTCTGAAAAATCAAAGTTCACACCAGCTTAAATGTGTAATGTATAACTACAAGGAAAAGCAGGTTCTGTGATCACATTGTAAAAATAACAAAAGTTTTCATGTTCCTATCAGATCTAAACCCCCAATTCAAGTTTAAGTGGACACAAAACCAGATTTCACAAAAACCCCCAATTATTTTCCAACAATGACAAACAAACAAAACTCAGAAGAGAACATGAACCCTAATTTCAAAATAACGGTACCGTCCAATTGCGGGTCTTGGCTAATCGCCTTGCTAGGGCATGTAAACAATATTGCACATCTGCTCGAGGCCGAATCGCAGAAGTAGCTGCCAGAATTTCTACAAGAAACACATGCATTTAGCAATTTGTGCCCAAAACCAATCAATTAGACAAAGGAGAAAAAAACTCACTTCTGATGTGTCTATCTTTGGGTGGGCATTCAACATGATTCGTAGCTTTAACGATCGCAACATCTACATCCTAGAGTTCAAAAATAACAACACCCACATCCTAATTATATGTATATATATATATATATATATATATATAGAGAGAGAGAGAGAGAGAGAGAGAGAATTAGAAAGAAAAAAAAAGAAACTTGGAGAAATGACCTTGAAATCGCTATTAACATGGGCTAATCCGACTTTGGTTTGATCTTTAAGAGCACCGTATGCTTTCCGAAAAGTTTGCAAAGTAGCCATATCTATCTGTGGATTGATCGAGTTCTTCCGATTAGATCGGCAAGTATCTGGATTGATCTAGAGTGACATGTGTTGATCAGAGGTTCCTTCTCTCTTGGGGCAAAGAATCTAAAACTAGTGCAGTGAAATCGGTTGTTACAACTTGTGCGTTGATTAAAGTTGTGTTGTTTATGTTGATGATTTTGTAGACGCCCAGAATTGGTATAGCGTCATCATACAATGGTCCCTCTCTTTCTTACTTTTCTCAGGAGCTAAGATATACATAAATACATATACTATAGCTTTGTAGGGCCACATGGAAAATCTTAAAAAAACTGAGGTATATATATATATATATGGAATTTGTAAATAATTTGTCCAAAACTCGTATATAAGCAATTTGTCTAGCATGCATGTGTATATATGCATATAAATCAAGAAATAACTTCAATTACTTATATGTTTACGTGCATACCATTCAGATAAATAATTATCTGGATACTCCTCAGTTTTTCACTTTTTTGAGTTTTCTTATGAAAATCCCTCTAACCTTGTATTTTAACTTAATAGGATTAGATTTAGGAGAAAATGCAAAAAAAAAAAAAAAAATGAGGAACACTCTAATAATTTATAAATAATTTGTCAAGTATGCACATATCACCTCATATATAATAACATATGCTTTCCTTTTAATTATAGTAATACATAATGATCTTCAAAATGAAGATTTTAGAGATTTTGAGTAAATTTTGTGTCCGACAGATACATCAAAATATTATTCTAAAATCAAAAAAAAATATCAGAGAGTACAAATTCTCAAAACTTGAAAACTCTTCAATGATTACTTGGGGAAAATAATATTTTTATTAAACTTATAAAATGTTTTAAAAATACAATTAATGTTGTAATTTTTAAAATTGAAAAACTGTCAAAATAATCTGTAAATTTTCTTTTAATATTTTGAAATTTGATTCATCATTTTACAAAAAGAAACACTGAGAAATCTGATGGAATTGCTCTTTATCGTTTATCTAAAATGAGTAAAATCTATTATTTGATTAAAGAATGAAATAAGTTATGAATGTAAATTTGGATTATATACATAAAAAATTATGATTACGTCATAATAAAGGAAATGTTGATGGGCCATAGGTCCCAAAAAGTTGGTTAACTACTCCTCACCTACGTACACCTCCTAAAGGCCTTCATTAACATGGGACGAAGGTAACGTAGAGATAACTACTTCTAACCTTAATATCATCTTAACTCCAATATTCATACCCCACAATCTCACATCACTTTTTGTGGTAAAATGTCAATTTTGTAAATCATGGTATGTTTTGGTTCTATAAAATTAATCTGTCAAAACTAAAATATAACGATGTTCTATCAAGATGATAATAATATTCTCACTACGATAATAACTTACATAGTATTTATGCTTTAACAACGTAATAAAATAGTAATAAAAAAATTGTACCAAATAAAAATATTATTTTGGTATGATTGAACACCAAAATAGTGTTATAGGTTAAAGTTGCTGAATCTAAAATAAAATGGATAACTTCTAATTTAAGCAAGGTAGCATAGTGCATTCACTTTTTGTCCAATCAAAAGTATTAATTTAGGGGTGGCTAATTGCACCCCTATTCTTTGCTAATGTCACCCCTAATCCTCTATGTAATCATTTTTTTTGTTTCTTTTTTGTGTTTTTGTATTTGTCCTTTTCTTGTCTTGTCTTTTCTTTTTATATTAATTTCAAACACTGTTATAATTGGTTCTGGTTCGGGTTAGGTCTAGTTGGAACCGATACCTGTTTCCAGCTAGGACAACTGTTTGAAATGGCTCTCCACAACATTCGTCATGATGCATCGATGTTTAAGGATCGTGTCTCACACTACGTTATGCCTGAGACACCCGATGGCATACGCGATTTTTACAACACAAATGTTTGATTTTACTCATCTTTTTAATGTCTTATTTGTTATCTTTTTAATATACAACTTAATTTAATTTTCTTTACAATTATTGATCTATTGAGTAATAATAGAAATATATGTTTATGTATATAATATTATATATGATATAGAGATTTGCCGCCATAAGTCACGCCTTAAAAAACGTCGTGAACTCGTTGTGGCTTACAAGGCTTGAGGCTTGACTTTGTCGCCACATCACGCATCACGCTATTTAGAATGTTAGCTAGGACAAATCGGCTTAAACCCAAAAAATGTTTCTAATCCCCATGAATCAAGAGCATAAACGTACTAAAGGAATGATTGTGAATCGTGATTAGTATTAGACCAGGATAGGACAGAACCCAATTGGGACAAAAGTGCATTTTCCTATCCCATCAAAATAGGTAATACAAAAATTTAAAGAGATGAGATAAGAATGATAAATTACTAAACTACTCATGTAAAATTAGAACTCTAGCCTTACAGAATTCTTTCATTCGTTTACCTCACTCTCGTAAGTCAAATCTCATCCAATCCACGTACCAACCTCCAAAGTGGGTCAAGGGTGTGTGGATGACGGAGAGTACCGCACGTATGCAGACCTTATAACACATGATAAAGTATGCGACATGGTACATAATAACAACGACCCAATGACAAATCAAATAATCATCTATACTTATGATTCATGTAAAAAAATGTCACAACGGACATGGAGAAAGATCGCTTTGTGATTAGTTTAAACTACATCTAGTTAGTACTCGAAATACCAACTGAAAATTTGAATCTAAAGGAAGAAAAGGATAAATAAAAGGTACCTCATTCTCTCTCTTATTAAGGCAATTTTGACTTTTCCTGCTAAATCCAATACTGTGTATGTCAGTCATCTAGCTGCATATTCGGGTTTGAACAACCATCATCTTAGACGGACCACTGGGTGTTCAACGTTTCCGTTAATTTGTTCCAGTCCAACGACTCCAAGGTGGTTGGGGGAAAGAATGCGGCCCCCACACCGAGGGCAACAATGAGGAAGGCCATAGCTTTAAAGCATTGCCACCCGCGTGACAGTCTTCCCAATAACGCCTTACAGTATTTGTCTGCTTCCCTGTAGACTGCTTGATCAGCAGATTTCACTCCCTCTTCCATGGCATTTTTGTTCTAGAGATAAAATTGAAAAAGGACCAAATAAGTTGTGTTTATTTTTATAATCCTGTGACTTTCAAGCATGAAAATTATGAGTTTATTCTGTTACAGATAATGTAACGGAAGTTGGTGAAATGCAAAACAGAACACTACAGTTTTTAGTGCTTTCGGTAAAATTTGAAACAATAAGATGTGAAATGAGCTGCTTATTAACTTCATATTTCTACACGAATTATCATAGATTTAAACATGAAAATAACATTTTGAAAATTGAAGCTAAAAACATCCTCGTATATTACAAATTTAGAAATGTAGGTTTGAATTTCCAGAGAAGAACACTTTTTTTCGAGACAGAAGAAGTATAAAATGTTAAAATTGCATGGTGATGGTATACCTTGCTCTTAAAACTCCTAAGAGTTTCAGTGAGGGCCTTAAGAAAAGGTTGTTTTAGAGATAGCTCCCTCCACAGCTCAGTAAGCCTTCTCAAGACAACAATGCTTGCTTCTAGATTATCCAAATAGACCTTGTCCTGTGGATATTATATTTGAGAATAATTGATACTGAGTTGTAGATATAACTCCACATAATCCAAATTTATCATTTCAATGAAAATATAAAACCAAATACAAAGGTTATAATGTAGTCACATGCAAGGTAAAATAGATAAACTAGTGAGCACCAAACTTTCATGGTTTTTCATTTGCACATCTCAATCTTGGATTCTCAAAACCATCATTTTCGTCATTCTCATCCAAATTAACTAATTAAAGGCAAGATCAAGGGGGTTTAATTAGTCAACAACTTGAAAGAAGGTCATTGCATGAGCCTTGTGAGCTAAAGCATTAGACAGTGAGGGGTCTGTTTGCTAGCAGCTTAATGAGCTTAATGACACTTGCAGCTTATTCGGACAGCTATACATGACTGTTTGGTAATGACTTAATGATATTAAAAGTAAGCTTCTAGGGGGAGCTTTATACAGAAAGCCAAAAAAAACTAAAACCTGCCCCTCCCAATTAAAAAGCACACACCTTCCATCTATGAAAAAACTCTCTTTAACAAAAACCTTCTCAATCTATACAGACAGATAATCCACAAACAGTTTTATTCATACATAACTTAATGAAAAAGCAACCAAACAATCTCTAACCATTGGCCACTAAGATTTTTGAGATCTGGCCTCAATTTGGACAGAAACAATAATTGATATGGTTTTGAGAAATTTAAGCATATGAATAATAAATCATTTTTTAAGGGATGTAAATGCTAAACCAAGAAACCATTATTATCACGTTTACACACAAATAGAAGTTCCACAATTTTGATGAAAAATGGAACTCACCCATTGCTTGCAACAATCAGGATTTTGAGTTAAGCACCAGATAAAAATACTAGATGCTTCATGGGATAGCTCAGGGATGCCTGCCAAAGAAAAATATCAAGGAATTAACTTTTGGGTCATCTTCTTCAACTTGGAAGTTTATGTATTTAATTGAATAAATGTACCTTCTCCAGAAGCTTTCAAAGAAATAACCATAAGCTGTTGAGAAACTTGTTTCATGGCTTTGCTTCCAGGGGAACCAGCAAGAGCCACCTTCTTGAGTGTAGGATATACAGCTTCAAATCTTTCAGTTGCCTGCATGATAACCAACAATCAAACGATCAAGAATATTCATAAAATGGTGGTGCGTAGGTGGACCAAGAGTCCCCACAGACATCCGACCTTTACACGAGCTGAAGATGAAGGGAAGGTGGCTCTCAATAGCAGATCAAGTGCCAAAGGTGGCATTAAACGTTCCCCCTTCCGCACAGCGCCATTTACTAAGATAGTCTGAGCTTTTGGGGCAGAAAGAATCCTACGAGCATGAAAAGGGAAACGATATGTCACCAGTTTGCAATTCTCAGAGGATACTAGTGGATGGTAAACAAAGAAGGTGGCCTTAAAACCTTTCCACTAACTGCAAAATTAAATCCCTGGTCTGCGGATTGGAGCCTGATTTGCTCCCAACTATAGGCAGCATTAAATGTGACCACAAGTACAACCCGACGGCCAGGTCTCCTTGTGATGCCTGCATATTTAAAATTTATATTAGCATATAATGATCTGTTATGAGACCAGAAAATAGAATCCTGTTGCTCATACACAATTACTGTTCCTGAGTTATTCACTCACTTGTGCTACCATCCACACAATAACTGGAAGCTTGTCTTGTCCATGATACTTTGGCGATACGTTTAAAGTTGGCAATACAGTAATTAGCACATCAGGTTTCCTTCGTAACACCATTGCTAGCACCACAAACAGACCCACCTGTTAAGGATTGTAGGAATGAAAATCAGTTCATAACCAAAGTACATAGATATTTAGTAGGCATAATGCAGGTATGACTATTGATGCAAGACGTAGGCACCAAGGAGGGAGACTGAATAAAGAACCCATTCCGTAGACAAATAATGACAAAAAAATCCAATTATAAGTTGCAAGGTTGTGGGCCGGTCAGGTGGGTTCTTGGGTCACTAGTCAAAGTTGCCAGCCCTACCGTACAAATTATTGCCCTCTGCTACATAATGCTAATTCCCTACACCTGGCACGAAAAGGCTGAGTAAAGAATGAAATGAAGCAAATCGATTAATTATACATGCATGAGATATCTTGATACAATGAAATTGAAGTTCTGGTTACTAGTTGCAAATCAATTAAGAATTGTTGTCATAGTGATGAAATTGAAGCATTTGGAGGTTGAAGGAATTTCTACAACATTAAGGTAATTCTATGCTGTTAGCAGTTAGCGTACCAAAATGAACAAGGAAGTTGTTTATACAGTTATACTTTATACTTATTTACAAAGAATTTTAAATGTGTAAAAATCAATCAGTCCAGAAGTAGGGGCCACTTTATTGTGACCAAGGGCCAGGCAAAGTCAATGCGAAAACCTGTTCAAAGCATCACATCCGTCCTTTTGGTCAAATGGTCTTAAGTTACATAAATGCACTATAATTTATCTTTCAATGCATCAAATGTTCATACAGCTGTCCCACAAGTTCCAGTCGATGCATGGGCCAGCTTTTCTATGCAGGGGAGGGGATTTGTGATAAACAACCGGACAAGCAAACAAAAACATGTTTGCATGACCACACTACTGGTCATTAGTTATATTTACTGCATGAGGCCGAAACCTAAGTTGATAACAGAATAAGCAAGAAATCCCCAAGCCCCCAAATCTTACCTGAGATTTTGAGGATGTTTTTTGGACACCTTTCTTGGATCCCTTACCACCACCTTGTTGGCTTGCAAAGTCAGCAAGAATGCTGTCTAAGGACCAAAGAAAAAAAGAACCAAGGGCTTCCGCAGATTGTTTGTTGATCCAATCAACTGATGTCTTGTAAACAGCCTCAGGTATATGTGACACAGGGTTCTGCACTTAAAAGAAAGTGAATCAGAAGAGGAAGAAGAAGAAAGTTCAACTGGATTCAAGGACATCTTGTAGAGCATGTACAGCAACATAATGTACATAGTAACATCATCAACAGAAGATGCATACTAGGAAATGGATAATCCATTAAGATGAGCTAGTAAATTACAACATTTGTTTTATTTTTATGCATCTAGAAGCAGCTAAATATGACCAATGTGCTATCACATGATTTACCAAACAAGCAACAAAAGCGGGAACCAGGTGACCTAGGGATCGAAATACAAGTATCATGATTAGCTTGTTATACAGAAAGGAAGAAAAAAAAAACTGTACATGATGAGCTATGAATATCATAATCACTGCTTATAAAGAAAATAGGCAAAATTAGAGGCATGAAATTCACAAATTCCAAGAAAGCACATTTACCACTTAATCTATTTGGCCAAGAAAATAATGATAGAAGCTTTTATTCTTCATAAATTATATGGAAGCACTAAATATGTGTGGCTTACCAAAGGTTGGATACTATGCTTATATATATATATATATATATATATATATATATATATATATTGCATCTGTGAAATCTGTTGGTATTTGTGCACCAAAAATAAAATAGAAAACAAGATGATGACTAATATGTGAAATGTCCTGAAGAATGCTGGAGGGAGAATATATGGTTCAAGTGAACTAGGAGTCTAAGTCACGAATTTATCTAGAGTCCTAGACATGCAAAAGCTATGTGATATTTTATAGGTCCTACTCCTTTTGGTCATTCAACGTTTTTTAATTTCTTGTGTCCATTTATAACTTAAAAAGATGTGAGAAGAAATGAAAGCGTCATGGTGGATGGATTAGTGAGTCCCACTTCCTTGAATTGAGCGAAATGAAACGGAAACCACAAAATGGTGAATGGATGGAAATATTATTATAAATGAATAGGAACCTTAACTTTTGGAAGATCAGTTCACCTTCAACAGACATGGAGATTAAATTTAATCAAAATCTTAGGCCAGGTATCTCCATACTGATTCCTGCTAATACACATGGTCTTGGAAACAAGTTTGGAACCTTATATGATAAATTAAAAACGAACAAAAAACACCATTATGCTTTAGAAATTGACATAAAATGCGACTTCTTTACTAGTCCACAAATATGAAAAGGAAGTATCTGTACCACACTTCCAATGAAAGAGGCAAAATTAAGAACCCAACTTTCCTGAGTAGCAAACTATGGGCATGGATGGCAGGGGAGTTTCAAGAAGATAGAGGGTGAGCGTGAGTCTGGGAGAGAGGTAGATAGTCGTAGTTTTTCCAAATTTTCTTGTCTTCTATTGTATCTACATGTGTGACTTATCTGTTCTACACTAGTCTTAGTTTTTCTTCCTTAACCACCAGCTGTCAGTAATGTGCTTAGTTCAACCTATTCTCCTCACATCTGTCACTAATAGGCTAATACCATGATAGCATATAAATTATTTGGATTTCAAACTCCTTATACCATGATAGCATATAAATTAGTAGACAACACACTCACAGGCACTATAATTTGGCAGTATAGGTTCAAATTGTTTTAAGTTCTATTATATTATTAATTTCAAGAAGAGAACTTACATCTGCGACCTTGGCAACAGGAGATTCTCTCAATAACTTTACCCAGGGAAATTGCGAAGCAGTTACACTAGAAAATGCACGTCCAAAATAGTCAGCAAACCTCATCAACTGTATCTCTTGTTGTGCCTCGAATGAAGTCTATAAACAAATATACATGAGTTAAAAATATTAGTTTGCAACATTCAAGTAATAATCAAAGAAAATTTTAGCAGTTCTCAAAACTAAAGCTTAAAGCTCAATATTCTGTTTCAACTGCATATCCTGTTGTGTGAGAACGGACCTGTGTACGCATTCTCCACCTATATCAACAATGAATAGAGCTATACATATGTTTGACTAACTATATAGTAAAAAAGCTGAATCCAGAAAACAAAAACTACCAAAAAACATCGCATAATGATACATCCTCTCATTGTGAACGAAGCCTATACAATGCGACAAACCAATCTAAATATTTTAACTATTAATGAAAGAAATCTCCACAGAATAAAAATACATTTACGCAATTCACTCACCGTGACATCCAACAGAAAACTAGCCAAGTCGTCAACATCGATCTTCGCCGCTGCTTCCGCAATCGTGACCTTAGGTTTCTTTACTTTCTTCGGTTTCTTCTTGGTCTCCTCAACAACATCATTTCCGGAGACACCATTAGTCTCAAGCTCTTCATCGCTGTCCTCATAATCGGAGTAGTCCTTCTTCCTTGACGATCTAACCGGAGGAGCAGGATCATAAATCGCCAATCTATGAGCTTCTATAACCTTCCTACGCTCCTCCGATTTCTTCTCAATAGCAGTGAAGACATTATCATTAGCGGCAAGCGGGGATCCGTTGGGAAGCGCCTGCTGCTTCGCCTGATTCTTCCTCTTCTTAGCGTAAGTAACTTTCTGCCATCCGTGATTGTTGTCCTCAGAAATGTTGTTGGATTCGAACTCCATTTCTGGAATTGAGAGAGATTTGAAAAAGGGAGAAATAATCAGAGCGGAGAGATCGGGATCTTGATGCGGAAAGACAAAAACGATGGGCAGCGTTTTGCGATTGAATACGAGACTCCAACTCTGACTTATCAAGGGGGCTCACCTTTCCTCGTGCTATTGCCTTCTGTTTGGGTTCACTTGTTCTACGATTTTGGTAGGTGGTGGTTCATCATCTCGTACAAACTCTCTGAAATAGAAAAAAAAAAACTAAAATAGAAAAAACGTAAAATAAACTCTAAATTTAGAATTCCTAAAATATCAAAAAATAAATAATTATTTTATTTAATAAAATGAATTATATGTTTAAAGATAAATAATATTTTATTAATTATATTAGATATTATAGTATACAATATATTATAACTCCAAAATGAACAAGGTGTTGGAAATAAGCCTAAGGGGTTATTTGTTTATCTCTTAATAGTTTAATTAAGAGGTAATCTCTGAATCGTTAATAGATGAATCTTGTTTGACAAAAAAAAAGTCTGCCTCTTAATGGTTCTAAAAACCCTCTGAATGATTTTGTATCCTGGATCTCCCTTAACCATTAAGAGCCCTAATTTCATCGTACACAATTACCAAATAATTATATTTCATTTTGTACTATATCATGAGAGTCTCTTAATCATTCTGACCACTTAATCATTTTACACCAAACCACTCAGCAAATGTCAAACAACCCTTAAATTTTTCTTATAAATTTTGACTTTTGATTCTTTGTTTTAAAAATTTGTTAGAGATGCTCTTAATTACATCTCTATCTATAAATTTCTTTCAAAAACTTGCTTTTTATATTCACCGATGCATTAATTGACTTGATTCTGACATAAAAAATAGTACAAAGAGCATTATCCTTTTAGCTTATCAAATAAAAAATGTACATAAAATTCTTAGAGCGTATCCAACATATTATCCAAAATAAATATTCTAGAGATTTTTGCTACAACAGATTCTCCAAAATAGAGAAAATCAAGAGAGACGGTGAAACTCTCCAAGAATTATTATCTATGAAAAAAAAAATTAATCTTCCTATTGATTAGAATCTTTCAAAATAAATATATGAGAAAAGATAAATAATATTTTATGAAATGTATTAAATATTTTAATAATATAAATTTAAAGATTTTGACTTTTGATTTTTCGTTTTGAATAATCTATTGAAAATGCTCGAATGATCTATTTTCCATGTCCCATGTAAATATAAATATATACATATTAATAATTATCTAGGATAAAGTTAAAAAAGTATAATTTCTTATACAAAGTTCGAGATATTAACTAAGATTTTTGTATAAGAAATCCAAGAATGTGAATGTCTTGTAAGAACTCTTACGAATGATATTTCTTATAAGATTCTACATTTTTTTTTTTTTGCTTAAAATCATCTCCAACAGATTTCCTAAAAAATTCAAAAATGGAGAATCCAAAATCAAAATCTCTAAAACAGAATTACATCCATCTCCAACAGATTTTCATTTTGAAGAATTAAACATTGATTATAACATTAAAATATTTCATTCATCTATTAAAATATTATTTCTCTCTCTAAATGTATTTTTTTCAAAGTTGTATATTGATGGTCTCACTTGGTAATCATTTTTTGGGTGTTCCCCATATTTAGAGAAAAAAATCATTCTCTTTCCTTTTTTTTTCATTTTGGAAATAGTTTTGAGAAAATTGTTCGAACAAAATATTGACTCAAAATTTCCATTTTCTTTCTTTTCTCTATTGTGGATAAGTTGTTGGAGATACTCTAACTGCCATAAAACATCTCCAACATATTCTAAAAAAGGAAAAAATTTGAGATATTGACCAAAATTTTGCTTCAAGAAAATCTCTAAAATTGAAAAGACATGAAAGAGTTTGTGAAATTCTCCAAAATTGAAGAATTCCTAGAAAATGATTATCATGAGACAGACAACACAATATTTTATTATATTTTCACTAATAATAAACTTTGATGTTTAATGTTTATATAAGAAATAATATTTTACTAAATGTATAAAATATTTTAATATTTTTATTAATATTGCAATATTTAAAATAAAAAATATGTTAAAGTTGGATGTAAATTTTTTTTAGATTTTAAGTTTTGGTCTCTATTTTGGAAACTTTTTGGAGAATTTGTTGGAGCTATTATTAAATTACAAGGGAAATATATGAACAAAATGTCCTGATATTGATATGTGCGAGAATTGTATATACTAAATGGTAAATAATAGATGTTCTTCGGTCTACCCTTTTAGTAAAACTAATTTATAGTTTTTGGGATTTCTTAATTAATGTCTTTAAAAGCAAACTATTGACTTTCATTAAAGTTTTAGATACCCCGTCTTACTGAAAACCATGACATCCTGATACCGATACCAGGGTCATTGTCGAAGAGCAGAACGCAATGAGTGACTAGGGAAGGGACGATGTAGGGGCACGGGGAAGGGTGGAGTTCTAGAGAGGGATATGCAGGTAAGAGCATGCATCATACAATAATTAAGGGAACGCTAGGTTCGCAGATATCATTGTAAAACGAGTAAAGTGAAATACGAGTAATTCATTCCTTTGACATCATTCTTTCATTGTGTGGGTTGGTAAAGTGAAAGGAATTCAATTGCAATTGCAATTGCATTTGAGGGATTCCACCTTTTAGATTAACTAGTTTTTGACATGGTGCGTTGCACGATGATAATATATTTTAAATTATTGAAGTCATTTAAATTATTGAAGTCAGTTAAATGAGTCGATGATCACATTTATATATTAAACTAATAAAAATCAATATTACCTTTAATATATGAATCTATCTTAACATTATTGATTATTTTTTCTAATATATATAATAAGTTTTATATATCAATCTTTTGTCATATCAAACTTTGTAATTGGTCCAAAATCATAAAAAAAAAATATATGTGAAAAAAATGATTATAATCTTGAGGTGTATCATGAGAATTGTTTTATCATAATACATATCAATTTATCTTCTACATACATTTGCATAAAATATTTATATTCACTAAGCAAATGTTGTGTTGTTACCTACTTTAATATAATTATTGAATATTTTTACAATTTGTTTATATTAGTTCATGATATACTCATGTAATCTTTCGTGGGATAGAAACCTCCTTGAAATTCATTTTTTTTCTACATGCGATTACACAAAATGGGACAATAATAGCTAGTATATGACCATTCCAGATACATAAGAGTTTGATTGATTTGTTATTTTTTCACTTGACTTGTCAAAAAATTTAGATTTGTTTTAGACAGTTCATAGTTTGTTTTATCTCTAAAAAAATCCTGAAAAATGAGGTCTTTAATAAAATTATGTAAAATAAAATATATGTATTATATTGGTTATAGTGTTAATTATATATAGAGTTCGATTTTAGATTAAATAAAATATTGATTATATATATAACTATAATTTGTTTTTATCTCTTATACCCGTTATTGTATCGGTTGTAATCAAGTTTTAGTTATATGTTGTATCTAATTTTAATTTTATATATTTGATTGTCATAATTTTCTATTTTTTGTATTATAATAAATTATATGTTAATTTTAATAATTATTTTATATATGTATTATATTTATTTATTTTAATTAGTTTTCTAAGTGATATTAAATATAATAAGTATTTCATTTATTAATGAGAGAGTTAATAATAAGTATTGAATTATGTACATTGATTATAATCTTATTTATATATTAATTTTAATTTCATTTATATCTATATATTGATTTTAACTAATTCGTAAGTTTTTTTTTTAGTTTTATATATTGATATAAATTTTGTATATTAATTCTAATATGACATTTTATTTTACTTGAAAAATAGTAAAAGTCAATATGTAAGACGTACAAAACAAAAATAATTGAAACTTGTATAATCAATCATTTAATAAATATATTATTTTCTAAATAATATAATATATACATGTAAAGAAGAAATTAAGTGACGGAGAGAGTGAAAAAAGTTTACCTGAAAAAAGATTTTGTTGAATAATAATGGTTTGTAAAATAAAGAAAACTTCAAATGATAGAGAAGAAGAAAAAGAGATTTATTGATGAATAAATCGTAGAGGAGCACATGGAAGGGTTTGGAGGTTTCACCTCCAAGAATGAAAATGAAAAGATTGTAGATTAAACTTTTTAAAATTACCAAAAGAACTTTATCCTAATGAATTTTATGTTTTAAATATAGGGAAGAGAAAGTCTTTTACATATATCAAATATTTTAAAAAATCAAAAATCTAAGAAAAAAGAATGATAGGTTTCTAATGTTTAGAGGAGCACATGGAAAGGTTTGAAGGTTTCACCTTCAAGAATAAAGATGAAAATGTTGTAGGTTAAACTTTTTAAAATTACCAAAAGAACCTTATCCTAATGAATTTCATGTTTTAAATATAGGGGCAGGAAAGTCTTTTACATATATCAAATATTTTAAAAAATAAAAAATCTAAGAAAAATGAATAAGAGGTTTCTAATGTTTAGAGGATGACACCTTATTATGTTTGGTTTCTCCTTTAAGAAGTAAAAATATTATAAAATAATTTTCAAGCCCAATACTAAAGAAGGAAAAAATCGCAACAGACCGATCAATATCATTGTCTTAAAAACCATATGAAAGATTACCGATCTTAAAAAATCATAAACCATCTTTCTTGATACACTCTTCTAGCATCAATACAAAAATATTATAGCATAATGTTTATCAAGTTCATGGATAAACAAACAAAAAAGATATTTATATGTTCTACATGTGTTTAAAAAATGTTAGCTTATTTCTTCAATGATTCATGTCATTTTATCCATACAAAAAAGGATTCATATGCTTGCATAATTCCAATTTTAGTGTGAATGTCTCCAATTAAAAAACGAAGTACTATACTTACATCAACAAAAACCCATATCATATATGTCTTCTTGAATGACGCCTCAAATCAACAAAAATACAAATCACTTCCACAAAAATTGAATAAAGGAAGAATTGAGAGATTAAGAGAGATTGTTATGCTTAAACAATGTTACCTTATTTCATCAAGGATTCATATGCCTACATAATTTCAGCTTTAGTGTGAATGTCTCCGATTAAAAGACGAAATATTATACTTACATAAGCAAAAAATCATACCATGG